GTTACTGTACTCGTAACTGCATAAGGTCAAGTGAGCACGCAGGACACATTAAACATTTTCAAGTTGGTAAGAAATTTTGAATTTTGCCCGAGTGGCAGCCGAAGCCAACTTTTATTGATTTTGGACCACCAAGGGATCCTCAACCTGCGCAACTTGCACGCGGGACATCGGAGATTTTTCGTCCTTGTCCAAGAAGGTTAGGTGTAGATCTTTCCTACCATAAGAACAGGGGAGTGGCTGAAAGACTGCAGTAAAGCAGTCAGAAGGAGCCAAGGAGTAGCAGTAGAAAGGCTGCAGAAAGAGTCAGGAGCCCAGAGGAGGGAGCAAAGGAGGTGAGGGGGTGGGTGCAGAAAGTGGAGACGAAAGCAGATGACAGATCATTCATCATTGCCAGCGAGCAGGAAAGCAGGTAAAAGGAGACAATTTTAGAGAAGTAAAAATTTCCTACGCTAACCGGATTCGAACCCGGGACCTATTCAATGAGAGGCAAAGACCTTAACCTCTAGGCTATGAAAGCCCCCACAGCTTATGTATTAGTAGAGAACAGTCAGACAAACGGATAGAAACAATAATATGGCTCTTTTCGTCTAAGAGGAGGTCAATTTAGCTTAAGATGGTCTCAAGGTTGTCTTCAAGCAGCTTCTTTCATGGCTAATTTTTCCTATGTTTGAAGCGCAGATTCTGTTGCAGTGCTTGCAGGTTAGTGTCGTAGATCGAGAAGAAGTTGTAATAAATAGACACTGCAAGAAACACAGAAGAAGAATAGTGACACAGAAAGGAAGCACAAGGACAAGGCAACAACACCTGAGAACTCACCAACCAGCCTCTCTAGCAAACAATAGTTTTAGTAAGTGTTTTACGGCACTTGCAACACAATAAGGTCATATAAGTGCCGAAGATTAGGTGTTACAAGAGAGTAACAAACACAAAAAAGAAAGAGGGGACATAAAGACGATAAGACGTTTGATAGGAAGAAAGAAGAAGCAAACCACACCAGAACACCCGCCAACCACCCACAGCAAACAGAATACCCATACAGTCAAATCTGCTCTAGCGGTCACCAGTCCAGGACAATCACCAGTACAAATGATCACTTCCCCTCTTGCCTTGTAAGCACACAAGTTAGTAAGTCTGCATTGACTATGAACATTAATTTTTACGAAGATTATTGGCCACATTTCTTTCACTGTTTTGAAAATATGATAGCATAGACGTAGGGTAACAAACACACTAACAATATCATCACTTAGAAGCGGCCCCCATGTGATTTTTCGGCCTACTTTTATTAAATGCTAGGGATGAAGATGACGAATTATTTCCAAATTTGTTAGCTACTCTATGCGAGGAGTTGGGAATGAGGGTTGTGTCCTGCCCCCCAGGACAGCCTGGCGGGGATCTAGAGTAAGCACCAAACAAACTTAACACTAAGACTAATACTTTTCCTCTATGTTAAGATGACACTGTTCAAGACCTCCGCCTGATAAAAACAAAAACTTTTCTGCTCCAAAATAAGTCACTCTCACGGACAATTTCGACTGTATATATATATATATTACAAGCTTGATCCTCCAATAGACACGCAACTGTCTGTCCCACACTTACTTTGTTCCCTTGAGCGTTAAACAGGACTTTGGTGACCTTGGGGAAGGAGCCGGGTTGTCTCAGCGTGGTGATGGGCGGCCCATGTCCCCACTCCCACAGTCTCACAGCGCCGTCCGCGCCACCTGTCAGGTCTGGGAATGTCAAGAACACTTGATAGCTTCAAAAGACATCCTTAAGCATTTTCGGTTCCAACAGGCCTATCCTTCATAAACTTTTAGCGTTATTTTTTATTATAGTTGTTCAGTGCCTATGTCTGAATGAAAATAGTCTGTGTGCGTGTGTATGTGTGAGTGTGTGTGTGTGTGTGTGTGTGTGTGTGTGTGCATAAATATGTATTGCATGAGAAGAAAGGAAGTAGTAAGAAAAGTTTTGAAAATGGGTATTCCAATGTAAAGAGAGTAACAAGAGAGTAACAAAAGAAGAAGCAAACCACACCATAGCACCTGCCAACCACCCACTTAGTAATTTTAAGGTAGCCACTTGTCATCAAAACTAAGTAAACTCTATGGTGATTGAGTAAATGAGTGGAAGAGAAGGGGGGGGGGAACGATAAGCTGTACCTGGGTATGCAATTCTCAATTTCCAAAGAGTTAAAGTCTGTTAACAACATCATTTAGTGTGCTCATCCTCATTGGAGCATCTCATGGTTGTAATAAGTGTATACGGCTCAGCAATTAAAGAGTTAACTCTTAGTACAAGACGCTTCAGTTCAGCTGGAGCATGGCATCCGTTGTTTAAGGCCATAATAAAAATCTATGAAACCCCAGGAAACACATCTTATCTATCACCAAGTCGTATATTTATTGTACGGATTAATCATTTTTACTCAGTTTGGTGTTAATATTATGCAAATGATACATAAGAGTGAAGTTAAAGGGAAGTTTGTGATGCTGAAAAATCTGATGACAAAACTACCCCAGCCCACGCAATTCCTCTTCCTACTCTCCTTCGATTCCCCATAAGCAACATACAGACTGACATACCACAAAGTACACAACAGTTTTTGCTTTAATAAGTGTTTTACGGCACTCGCGACACAATAAGGTGATATAAGGGCCGAAGATTAGAGGTGTTACAAGAGAGTAACAAACACAAAAAAGAAGGAGGGGAGATAAAGACAATAGATATTTGATCAGAAAGAAGAAGCAAACCACACCCATACACAACAGTTTAACGATCCATAACATTTCTCTTTAGGAAAAACATTTTAAAAAATCAGCTCAAGCTTCAGAGGACTCACAGTGAGGCAAGATGGGATGGGAGCCAATTCTCCTTACACCCAACACAGGCCTGCGCAGGATCTGAAAATAAACACCAAGACATGTTAACAACATCCTCATTGTACAGCAGGAAAAAAAAATTATTTCAGTACACCCCCTACCCTCTCTTTTTTTCTGCCCTTATAAAAATGTTCTCAAACAATTCCATTAGTGCATTTGTATTTTACAACAGTGCCACTTTTCATCATACAAGTAGGATTGCAAACACCTAGTTTTCATGTAAACTTGTTTCAGAAAAACATTTCTAAAAAATTGTTATACTCTAAAATCTCAAATTACAAGTAACTTTTTAAAACTATCACTTCCTTCCCTTTGTAAACAAGTACTTCTAAAAAGTGAAGAACATAAAATACAAAGTGGGCAGAGATAACTTCCATTCAGCAGAACATTGTTTCTAATATTGCCAACTTCTTTTCTTACATAACTGGTAAGTTCTTAGTCTTACTTGTGCAATCATTCTGATTCTACATGAGTGACAACACAAGAGCCTTTCACAGCTGTTGCATTTTTGCGTGCTCAGTTAAGTGTGTGAACAGTAGTTATTAAATCCTATCAAAATGTTGTTTCAGTACACACGTCTCAATTGCCTCCATCCCCCAGAAGAAAAAGGGTTCAGAATATTTCTATATTTACATTCCTCCAACCCCCACCATCAATAATTTTACTACGACAAAGATGTAAAGTAGTACTAGCACTCATCTCATCCAAAACATTACAGATATATAACATTCATACTCAACTGTGAACTCAAAGCTTGGACATTGATGGATGATTTTTGAGAGCACTAACATTTCTTTTTTCCATAACACAAATATAGGCTAATCTAAACAAAAAACAAACAGGAAGCTAAACAGCAAAAGCACGATTAGGCATTTTCGTTTTCTTTATATTCATAGTTTTTAGGATGAATTTACACTCATTCAAAACTGTTAAACCATCCGTTAATTTCTTTAGCTGTAGGCTAAACAATGACATGCTCTGGTGAAATTTGAATTTGAGTGGAAACATTTTAAATTGAGTCAGTTTGCTAATCTTGAACAGTGGAAGACACTACCATCACACGAAAGACCACTGTTAGAACTTTCTATTGGTCAGAAAGGTTTTTTTTAATCGTACAGGTAACAAAATCATAATGCCTTGAAGACAATCATCCTTGGTGGCTGATCTTTGGAAAACCCTGGTCTAAGTTCGAAGTAAAAACAGATCCATATTCTTCACTATACAAATCCTTCAAATAATTCAGAATTTAAAAAGGAGTTAAAGCAGAGTCAAAATGGGTGTGAAAGTGCATAAAAATTCAGAAACAAATCTCCAGTGAGAGTCATCTTCAGCGAGACATCTGTGGTAGGTAGTGAATCACTTTGCTGTATTGACACACAATTGACAAACCATTCATTCTCTTTCCATTCCTAGCCTCCCCCCTCTGACACTGATTCTCAAACAAAAACATACCAAAGTTACACTACACCATGCAAGGAACAGAAGTCAAATATTCTAATACCGGGTTCACAGTAAAATACAAAGATCTGCATTATATGAGGTTCTCATTCAAAGTGATAGGACGTGACAACATTATAGGTCAAAACAAGACATTTCATTATGAGAAAAAAAAGAAGCAAGGTGAAAGTTTATTCAGTTTGAACATATGGGAAAAAATATAAAATTAAACACCCCAACAGCCTTCTAATGGTGTAACAATGCACGACAGCAACACAAATATGTTGTGATTGTACAGAGCTGCTGACAAACGTAGCTGAATAAAGCAAATTAATTAAACCTTGCCACACTGACCGTCAAAGCAAAAGAGAAAAAAACCAACAACACAAAAAGCAAAATGTTTCAAGAGTGACAAATAGACTTGTGGAACATCAATGTGAGAGAAGGCAGCCAGAAGTATCACAAGGCAAAACAAGGAGACAGGAGACCATTGGGTGAACATATTACAATACTGCAGAGCAGAAGGGGAGAGGGGAGGCTTTTTGCTTCTTGTCTATCAGCATATGATTGGAGCATAATGTGAATTGTTCATTGACCGAAAACCAGCATAACGTTAACAGACCATCTAATAGATTAGTTAACATTGAGATTATGAAACTAACAAAGACAAGTGACCCGTTCCAAGAACATCATAGCATGTTTTAGTCACTCTTATAGTCCATTAGTTTTCAGAAAAAATTTTCTAACCAGTCCAGATTCACTAAAAAGAATTATTAAATTAATAAAACATGTACCCTACCTGCTACAAATACACAATAACACTTTCCCCAAGACAGCTCTTTAGGTCAACATAGACATACAACTTGCATCTAAATCTACCGCACGGCCACTGATCTCTGCCAGACAGTTTCATGACAAAAGTACACCTATAGCTTCACTTACCGGTCTGATAAGTCTCCTACTTCTATCCAAGATAAAATGTGAATATATGGGATTGTTCACACCTAGACTACTGAGACTTTTCACCTGATACCCAAAGCACAGCATTCAAAGTAGAGGAGAGAAAAGCAAACCAGAAATGGGAGGTTAGTATTGTCGAAAGGTAAAAAAAACAACCAAAAAACCAGGTTAAAAGAAATGAGGGAAGACAATAAATACGGTGTCTAATTATGTCCTTTTTGTTTGCACTGTGCTGTCTGTACCGTATCACCCACTCAGACAAAACAAACAAGAAACTACCTCGGAGAAACTCATTAGGAGGAAAAATACAGTCAAAAAAATACTCAGATGGCCACCCCATTGTCAAGGAGAAAAGTGGCTGTCCTAAACAGATGGATGCCTTAGACAATGTTAAAATAGTGTTTAAAAATGCAAGGGGGGGGGGAAGAAGAGTGGTGGTTTGTACATGTAGCTGTCTTAGATGGGGGGGGGGGGGGGGAAGGGGCCTTTTTATACCTAAACTTAAAAAGGGGGGGGGGGGGGGGGAAAAAAAAAAGGGGGTTTTTTCAATTTAAGTCTTTACAAAGGGGGGGGGGGGGGGGGGAGAGTGTTCTTTCTCACCTGTAGTTTTTAGGGGGGGGGGGGGGGGGGTGGGGTGGGCCATTTAGGAGCAGGTTCGACAGTAATAAACCCATTGAGGGGAGAATGTCAAATCCAGTGATGAAATACAACGTGATGCACTGTTCTGTTCTATCCTCGTTTGGAAAAACAATGCCCTTTGTTTTCTCCAAGGTTGCTTCATGAGTCATGCATATTCATAATATTACCACCACCGGACACGTAGGATAAGGGACTAAAAAGGTGGAGAGCCTTGCATCTCTTTTGACCAATACTTTTATTTGCAGTAAATTCTGGGTATCAAAAGCAACCCCCTACTCATTCCCTCGCCCCTTTCAAGAAAATGGTAAACAAAAATCATATGTTCCCTTTTGTTTTCAATAGTTGTGTTGCTACGAAAAACGAACAGGATCAGAAAAATGGTAGTCATTAACTGGTGTAATTGGAAGTTTAAAAAAAAAAAGAATTCTTCAGTACAACTTCACCGATACAACATCTTACACGAAGGCAAGACGGCTCCAAAGCACAAAAGGAGGAAGTCACCAAAGTGTTTACATGGGCCACAGTATGCAGGGTATATGGGGGTATTGAGCGAGAAGCAGAGGTATGGCCAGTGTTCCAATTCCCAATCCCTGGTTACCATCAAGTCCATCACATTTTCAGTAGCCATCTTCTGCCCCAACAAAAGTATTGCCACACAAACAAAATTTTACTTTATACTTGTCTCAACCCCCCCCCCCCCCCCCAAAAAAAAAAAAAAAAACCCAAAAAAACCCCAAAAACCCCACCGCAAAACAACTGCTCACAAAAAAATAACAACAACCCCCAACTAAAATACTTTTAAAAAAAATAAGTTTTTCACACATCAGTAATCAATTCAGACCAAGCAAGTTAAAAATAGAACTCATGATTATTCCAAAGCAAACTAATTCAATATCTTGAATGAATAATTTTCAACCATAAAAAAAGAAAGACAGGTATAACATGGCAAACTTGGAAAAAGTTTAATACTGAATTCAGAGAACGGACATCTCACCGTCTTTGCATGTGATCTAGGCTGAAATAAAAAGGAAGCAAAGAAATGACGAGGCTATTCAGTAGAGTAAACCATCTCCCAAAGGTTAGAGAATAAAGCAAACATACTTTTTAGTAGTAGCTCGAAGAATATTCTGACATGACTGCAGTTTCATCATTCTATCTTAATCCATTTAAAAAATCAATTTCTCCCATGACTTCTGACCATGATTGCATGTACAATAAACATGAAGAGTGAAGAGCAAAATAATATGTATCATTATTTCCATGAATCCGTCTTTTGAGTTTTTAAAAAGATTTTACACCCTTCAAAGTTCTTTTTGCCTCTCTGACTGTCAGCTGTAAACAAAAACCAATTCAGAAAATTCCACAGCCTGCTTGAGTCAAGGATAATTCACTTCCTCAAGACTTAATAAATTATAGAAACTGTTTCATGCTAATTTTTCTCATCTGCTTTTTATATCAATTCACATCCAATAAAACTACTTCAAAAGTGTAGCGGCTGGGTGTGATATTTTTGTACAGATTACATGACTATATAACAGTATCAGTAGAATCAGTAACTGATATCAGAAGAAAAAAGAAAATTCTGTGTGAAATTCGCCATTCAGCTATGGCCATTCTCGAAAGCCCTATGAAAGAAAGGAAACAACACTAAGACTGCATTAAAAGTTGTAAAACGATCAACTTCCTTTTGCTCTGTCAGAACATGTATTTAAAAGATAATATCTTAGAACATTTCATCAATGCAATTACTTTTCTTTTATATTCGTGTACCTTCTACAACATAAATGTCAGAGGTGCCAAATGGCTACGAAAAAAATAATTAAATCCCGAATTTTTTTAGCCAAAGAAAAAATGTATGAGGACTCAAAATCTTCAGATGAATTTGTCTAATATATCTCATATTGAGACTGTTCTAGATCTATATAAAGTGAAACAACTTTTCAACTTGAAGCTGGGAAAATTCCGACAATATCAGGAATACAAATTTATTATGAAATTTGGTACTTCTGAAGAGTGCATGGATTAAGAGCACAATGCCTGCAAACTGCATCAGATCCACTCTCAGCATATTGAGTAATCACAGCTTCAAAACATCTCACAATTCTTTCATTACTTAAATTCGTAATGAGCAGTAGGCACCCTACCCCTTTAACTTGTTTGGAAAACTAGGTCAGCTGAAGAAGATTGCTGCCTCGGGTGAAAAAACATAACAAGCTATCATACCTGCAAAAGGGCATATTTATTTTCATTATCATCAAGGTTTCTATTCCAGTCAACCTCGTTAAGCCAGTTGAAGAAAATAACGTTATATCTCAGATTGCTAACATGGCTTTCAAACCGAAATGTAATTTACTATAATACTGTATAATCACGATGCAGAATGAAGCTGGGCGAACACTTTACAGCTTTCAAAAGTCTTAGAACTTAGCAAAGTCAAAGCAGTATCACAACATGCTTTACAGGAGTCATTTTTTAAATGAGAGATTATGAGTAGTTAGTAAAACTGTTACAAAAGACCAGCAAAGTATTAGTCAAAGTCTGAAAGATTTTCTTTGAGTCATAATAGACACAAAAAGACAGTCATAATATAATTTCATTATGTAATACGTAAAGTGTAATTAGTGGAGTAGATGTGAGATTGTGAGAATACTGCACAAGTTGATATTGTTGAACTCCCCCCCCCCCCTTGTAAATAAACTCAATTATAAATTTAAAAGATTATTTATTCAGCAAAATCACATATCTGTAATCCTATCTGGTCATACCAAGACCATATAAAATCTTTTGCAGAAATTTGAGAAGAGGTAAAAAGGTAGAAAGAAAACAGGATGACTTAAGGTTTTTGATGACCCCCTCATGATTTCAAAAGAACGACTATAAAGTAAACATCTATAAAGAGCTCAAACTTCTTTAGTTTTAGTAGAGGTTTTACGGCGCTCGCAACTGCAAAAGGTCATGTGAGCGCCAGAAGATTAGAGGTTTTACAAGAGAGTTACAAACATAAAAAAGAAGAAGGGGAGATAAGGAAGATAGAGATGTTTGATAGGAAAGAAGAAGCAAACCACATCAGAGCACCCGCCAACCGCTTAAATTCCAGAGATAAGTTAGAACCTCAAACAATCTAAACAATCCAAATACGAAACATCATACAACTCTTCAAACACACAACCCAATATCAGCTTAAATGTTTGTTTTGGAAAAAAAACATGTGAAAGCAAAAAAAAAAAAATCTACAGGAATGAACCTAATACCTAACACAAGATCCATTGCCAAAAACAGAATTATAATCAAAGACTTCGAAAGAGAGAAAAAAACAGAAAGACCAAACTTGAAATATTGCTCAACGGACTGAATAGCGAGATGGGTTATTGAATGTTAAATAAAGAGGTTTGATTTCTATACTAAAATTCATGTTTTTACAGAGGCAATCACTGCTCAAAGTTAAACTAAATACTAAGCAGTCAGCTTTGAAACACAATGAAAAAAAGAGGCCAAAAAAAAAAGAAAAAAGAAAAGCCAAAGTACACAAGATAAAGTGCCACCTAAATCAAGCAAAGTATCCTGAACTTACTGAACTGTGTAACAAAAATATACTGCCATCACAAACTTAAAGCGGGACACGAAACTTCAAACCAAAAGCAAATCACGGCGGGGTGCGGTTGAAATCGGAACCTCTTTCTTCATTTCAGTGGAGTTACATGGGTTGGGACCTACACCAGCGAAATGGAGCAACACCATCAAACGGGGTTGGAACATCAGAAACGCCCATTAAAAATTTTAAAAAATAATTAAATTAAAAAAAGACAAATAACAACAATAACTTTCTATATATAGCACCTTCCCTGAAAAATGAAGCTCACGGCACTTGACAATATGGAATCTTGTGAGAACAAAGAGTTGTGTTACCACTCACCACACTGGTCCCTCGTCCCGTCTGTAGCCCTATCTGGCTGGCATTCGGGGAGGGCACGTACGGGCTGCCAGGGGTCTGAGAGCCACTCATGGGCTGGGGCGTGTCCTGGGGCGTCTGCACCACCAAGAACTCGGGCAACTCAGGACCTGGGTTGGGGCTGGAGGAAGAGGGGAGAGATCAGTTTAGTTTTAGTTTGGTTTTTTTGGTTTTTAGTAGAGGTTTTATGGCGCTCACAACTGCATAAGGTCATAGGAGCACCAGAAGATACTAGAGGTGTTACAAGAGAGTAACAAATATCTTAAAAAAAGGGGGGAGATAAGGATGATAGATGTTTGATAGGAAAGAAGAAGCAAACCACACCAGAACGCCCGCCAGCCACCCACTTAGTTTTAGTAAGTGTTTACAGCACTTGCAACACAACTAGGTCATATAAGTGCCGAAGATTGGAGGTGTTACAAGAGAGTAACAAACACCAAAAAAAGAAGGAGGGGAGATAAAGACGATAGATGCTTGATAGGAAAGAAGAAGCAAACCACACCAGAGCACCCGCCAACCACCCACTGAGGGGAGAGAGAGAGAGAGTGAGAAAGAGGAAAATAAAAACTTAGTTCCTTGATACATTGAGTTATGAGAAAAGAGAGGCACATTCACACAATGATTGTTATTTAGTGCAGGGAAAAAGCAAGACAAGACAGGCAGAAACAACAGAAAGAAAGAAAAGAAGTTGTATCAACTAGTGGCGCCCTTCATCCTTCTGCTGAGACAGAGAGGCATCAATAAATCTACTGGAGAAATTCTGAGTCCTGCACACTGAAAACCCCCAAAAAGTAGCCTCCTGAAACCAGGCAAACTACTGCAATTTATATACATTAAAAAAATGTTATAATTTATAAGCATAAAAACCAATGCTTTATTTTAATAGTACCATATATAACACAAGACGCGGGCATGACAGAGATGGTTGTTGAAAGCCAACAAATAAAAACACCATTCCAACAGGACAGTCTCAGAGAATGTTGTCAATTGCTCCACATTAAAGATCATTGCTGGAAACAGCTCAAATATATTTTCACAACAGGTTAAAAATATCAGTTCAAAGACAGCAAAGAAAAGATGGAAAGCAATGTTGAAAAGCTCTCAAAGATTCCAAACAAGGAATTTCCGTCAAAACTAACCCACGGTAATATCCACTTTTGTCATGGTCAACTTGGAATGGCTAAAGACTAATCACACTATATTTTAGAATTGTGTTTAAAAAGCCCTGGTAAGATTCTTTGATTGGCAAAAAGATTCGAGGATAAAACCGTTGACATAGCAGTAAAAAAACCTAAAAGAATCCGATACTTTTTTAAATTCTTCGATCTGCAAATCTGAACAAATAACAGGTATAAACTTGATGTGTTTCATGCTTATATGAAGCTAAACCCCCCCCCCCCTCCACTTAGAAAATTTCATCTCAGCAGAAAGACGTGGAATCTTTGAGAGTCAAAGAACAGCCCTGTTAGAAATAGAGAAAGAATATCTGTCAGAGGGAGTGAAAGTCACAAATTGAATCTGTCTAAAAAGGAAAAAAGTGCACAAAGGAAGACAGCATTCAAAAACATCCGTATGGAGTCTGCGTCACAAGCTACAATCTTCTGAGAGCCTCGTGTTGTGCTACCTCCCGAACACCTCTCACCACAGGAGGCCAGGAGAGCACACGAGAGCAAAACAATCCCCTCTCAGCTTTAACCTCCACTTCAAAAAATTAAAATAAACAGGGAAAGTTTCTTATTTTCTTGATGTAAAAAAAGAGGATAAAAAAATTTTCTATAATACAGTCCTGATGCCACTTTGTATACGTACAAACTAAAGAGGAAAAATTTGTCTTTTTCAGAAAAATGATACGAGAAAAATTATGGTTTATCTTCATTAAAAACTGATCTTCATTAAAAACTGATCTTCATTAAAAACTGTTGTAAATTATAATGGACATTGCAAGGGTTTGCAAACATGAAAATGGTCAGTTTGTTTGTGAAAAAAATACAACATGACTATGTTTGTCAGTAGACACTGAAAAATCCAACAAAAAAACCCCAAAAAAACTTTTTCAGGTGAATTTAGCCAGTCCATTAGAAATGGATCTTGCAAAGACAAGGCCTCTTAGATAAGGATACATGTACCTCATGCTCGCACCAACTGACACAACAATACAATACAGTATTTACTTTGACATGCTTAAATATGCATCTACGATGAAAGCAAAAGCCACACTCAAAGCAGACAGAAGGTCAGCAATGAGAGGAGGTGCCAAAAGTCAATCATCTATTTCTAACTGTGACACTACTTTCTCCCAGTAAGAAAGAAGAAAATTCTAAAAGCTTGAATACACACAACACTGACAGCCTTGACGGGTGGAGCAAGCAGCCAGAAAAGAGACAGCTTGTGAACATTTAAGCAGACAGAAGTTGTGAATCAGTATAAACAAACCAGCATTTAATACCTATCTGAAAACTTATATGGAGTTTCAAAAGTGGGCAATAATCTTTTCCACAAATTTCAACTCTCTCACAAGTTTTCAGATAAATCAGTAACTGTAATCAAGCAGAATGTGATTAAAAAGTGAATTTAAAAACCCGATAAAACTCGATCTTAACTAACAGAATCTGCTATAACACTTTCAAAAGTATTACTCTTCAAGTCAATGGCTCAGTTTCTTTTCTATGATTATACAGTTTGACTGATTGAGTCGTGCATGTTCCCTAATCCTGTATGCCAGGTGCACATTTAGGACAACAGACATCCACATATAATAGTATTGTTCAACATATTGTGCAAACTTTCTCAGTCAGACACAACACAACACAAGTAGATGTCCTTGTAATTTGAACCTGTCAAAAAAAAATAATCTTAAAAACAATGAACAACTTCTCCCCTTAAAAAGTTAGACGAAGCACTTTAATCATTGTTAACAACCGGCCTGACATGCCAACCAACTACTGAAAAATTACTGTTGAACTCATTTGCTCACAACATACTCTCCATACGAGACCTCAAGGCAGAAAACACACACAGCAAAGTGGAGCCACTTTGTGACACAAAATGCAAAACGTTTTCAACGGCAAAAGCTTTCCCACAATTTACTAGCCCATTTGTTTTGAAAAAAAAAATGTGCTTTTAGATCAGTCATAAGTCTTTCTCAACAAAACAATAAAAGCTTAAATCAAAGAAAACATTGACAACAGCTCAAGAGATCCTGCACTGCAAAGAACACAGTAAAGAAAGCCTAACTAAATCTTTCTTCAAGTTTGACAAAGTAACACAAGAAAAAAGAATATTAAAAAAATACCGAACAGTTGGAAAGATCCCTAGCTCAGAAGACACAGCTTTGAGGGAATACTCTGCAGCAATGTTATCTATGACTTGTAGAAAATCTCGACAACTCAAAGGCATAGCTCAGTGCTTAAAAACAGTCAGACATATCATTATTATGAATAATGGTGTAAAAATCAATGTCTGTTCTCCAAAAATGCAAAGCAATGCATAAACACACAGCAGTAAATCTACACCAGAAAGAGACCGAAAAAATGTGAAAAGGGGAAAAATGTGGGGAAAAAGGAAAAATAGAAGCTTTCAAGTAAAGTGAAGCATAGTGGGAAAGCAAAACAAAGGGTCACTAAACCCCCTTAGTCCCAAGTCCACAGTGTGCTTTCGGTGTGCATTATTGTTCAAGAATTTACTTTAGAAAAAACTGCTTATAAAATGCAAAGTGATGAAACAAGAACTGTATTTTCATCATAACCATCTTCAACCATCAGCAATCATATGACAGGGCACAGTGTAATTATATCTATAAAAAGACCAAACTGCCTGATCGAGTAACTTAGGAGAGCCTCATCTACCAATGACCTCAAAGTGCTCGTTGAACAACTTCACAGACTAACCATATTAACTCTCTCCGGAGAGAAAAATTCTAGACCCAAGCTTTGACTGTGAGAACATTAAAAACATCCTGTCTTTGAAAAGATTTGTGGGATAAAGTCTCGAAGACAAACAAACTGTGCTCTGAGCTTTGCTTTTTTTCCTTTTCTATTCCCTCCTATTCTTATCTATGACTTTATACTCCTTCATTTGAACTTCAATGCTCAATATAAAACATTTGTAATTCGCATAATTTTGAGCAATTTTTTTTCCAATGTCTAATTTTCAAAACAATTTGTTTGAAAATGAACTTTATGTTAATTGTGTTTGGCCTTTTAATTTACACAAGAATTGTAGTGCTATTTCAGTGGTTCTGATAGAAACACAGCACAAAGAATCATAGCCTTATGTTACCAAGATTCAGAACATTACAAGTAACAATATATGCAAGATTTCACACACTATGCTGGAGAAGGAAATAAAGTCAAGTACCAGGAAACTAGAAAATATTTTGAAGTCAATTTCGAGCTATTTCTTTATCAATGTAAGTTATCTAAATAAACTATCTGGTGCCAGTTTAGTTGAAGGTCTACCACGCAATGACGGTTTACTATAAGACCCACCCGACTGACCACAGTCTACTACAGTCTAGCCAAGTGGAAGTCCCGCCTGATTGGCTCCAGTAACGACAGTGCAGGGGGCATTTAGACCAAAGACGGCAGCAATGTACAATGACAGTGAGTGGGAGGGTGGATTGCTTCATTTATGGTGTCGTTTTGATCAAAGAATCTTGCAGAAATAAAGATTCTGATTAACAAGAAAGACGCGACAGCAAGTGAAGAGACAGGATTAAAAAAAAAAAATCAGGGAGGGGGCAGGCAGGCACCTCCTGTAGCTTGCCCATCCCCCCACCCCCAATCCCTCTCCAACTTGACAAACTACAACCAAAAAAACATTTTTACTATGGCAAATGACAGCCCCAGCCTGTATAAATGCAGAGAGGAAATGTAAACTGATCCTTTTCAAAATCCTGTAGAAACTGGTAGACCTTCAACTTAACCAGGTGTTAGACCGGTCCGCCAGCAGACTACCGATCGCCTAAACTAGAAACAACAGTGAGGTAAACTTTTAAATTAACCGGTATCAGCTATCTGTACCTTAGATACAGGTAACTTCAGAAAGGCCTGTTTCTGATATTACGTCACAAAGAAGACCTAAACCAAATTAAATCCGTGGCTGTAATTGTAATAATAATAATAACAATAATAACAATAGCTCGTCAGTCAGTGTCTGACGATGACCAATAAATCTGCAGAGGAGAATATTTCTCCAATCTGAGACTACATGGGTGCAGTAAACCTAAATGATCAATTTGAAAGTGAGATGTGCAGATATTTTTTTAAACTGCAAGTTTAAATCTCAGCTCTTACACTTATTTGAACTGGCATCAAAAGGTTATGCAACAAAAAATGGAAAGACCCTCTATGGAACTTACCGAACACAGTCTTTACCATAAAATCTGGCTTCTTCTTTTAAATTATACACATAATCTTTAAATTGATTACATTTTTTCAAAGCCCCAAGGAGTTCAGTTTTTAAGCCGTCATTACAATAAATAATAAAAAAGAGACTGAACATATAGTCATTTAGTATTTTTTTACATTTACACTGTGGCATAAAAATCTGAACATAAGATTTAAATTTGCAGAGTGACCATATGTGGCTTTACGTCAGATGAGTATGTGATATTAATTTCATGCGAAATCATTCTATGATTTAGTAAGCAAATTAATATTTGAGAAAGGCTAGTTTCTTCATACATCAGTCTCCACTCCTCTCCACTCCATTTGAAGGACCAGTCTTTGTCATTGTCAGCATAACTGGTAAGAAAAGTTGGAAAAATCAAGCAAATGTAACAAGCAAAAGAAATTGAGCTTTTGGGCAACTTCAAGTTATTTTAAGTACCTTGGTTTTGAGGAGCAAAAGGAAATTGAAATCAGAACTTTTAGAAATTCCATTTTTTTTTAAACTGACATTTTAAAAAAACAACCCCCCCCCCCCCCCCCCCCCAACAACAACAAAAAAACTTACAAATGAGAAAAGAAAAGGTGTAAGAAATCGAGGTTGGAACAAAATGGACAAAAGCTTATCTGCAAATTTAAAAAACAGCTTGAAGCAAAGATAAAAAATGCCAAAATGAGACTTGAAAACGTGGCCCTCACTGGAGAGTAGAGCTTATAAAAAATTACCATGACATTTGAAAACAAGAGAAAAAAAATCACACAGCTGATTTCCAAGAAACACTGACACGGCATTAAACACATGCATCAATTATTCTTCCTTTTACGTAAATCATCGAAGCAAATACGGATCTCCTTTTAAAAAGTTACAACCGATCCATGCATCAAATATCAAAGAGCACTACACAGTTGGAACAGCACCCCTCCCTCCCCCCAAAAGGCAAATAAAAGTTTTTGATTTTAAAAAGAAACAAGCACAAAAAATTTTAGCCCTGGGAAAAGGCAAGACAGTAGACATAAATCATAATATTAAAAAGGACAAGAAAGAAGGGAGAGCCTATCCACAGCACATTCCAACCACCTGCTCAATACATAGCACGCCAGGAGTAAGCTAAATCTGTATTTACAGAGTCAGTGACACAGTATAAACACAGAGAAATCCTCACACATCTACAAGGACACACAAATATTCACGAGCACACAAATATTCACACTGTCAGTATCACATGATGTCTGTGAACTTCTTATGAAAGAGATGTATTCTTTTCAATCTCTGGCTGTCAGTATTCCTCATATTCTGAGCATCCAAAAACCATGATATAAACAAAATTAATGAAAAGTACTTCCATAAAAAAACAACAACGCCAAAACGGAATGACTTCCAACAACTTTGGAAGATTCTATGGAATTCCGACTTTAAGAATATACACAGACCACTTGTGACCTGGACAATACACGACATATATGCACAAGCTTTGATACACATTTGCACAAATTTAAAAATTACAACATATTGGGTGGAAATATGAAAACTAAATAAATGTAAGCAAAGGAAACATATTGAGCATTACTTTACATTTTCAAGTTTTGCCTGCTGAACTTCAGATGACAGGGTGCATATAAATTTTGAAAATATTTCTAAAAGCTAGCTCTATGTAAAACACACCAAAGAATCACACACACAGAACCAACTTTGACAGTAAAAGCTCCTAGACATTTGCTTCCATAAGGAGTGAAGACAACTTCTACTGAAATCTGTCAGTTGTGCGCACAGTCTTTGCAGGTGATGTTGTAAGTTCATACATGCAAGAAACTCATGCATGAGATTCTTTTGGTATAACAATAAAAAGCAACATTAAAAAATTACAGCGCGGAAAAAAAAACAACACTCTAAAACAATCAAACTTACTTCTTCAGTAGCTCGATATCGTATTCATTGTCGTCTTCAAGCCACAGTGGTGGCCGAAGCAGGTACCCGATATCCAGCTCTACAATCTCCTTCTGAGTGGACAAGGCCAGCAAGTTACTGTTTGCCTGTTGAGGGATTCACGCAGGGTCAAAGGAGTTAAGAACTAATCAAACACAACACACTACAGGTACATTCTCTCACATACCCCAGGTAACAACCTACATATTCTCATTATCTCTAGCAAAGACGGACCGCATCATCCACGATTGACTCTAAATATACGAAAGGCTATTTCACGTTTGTACACAGCCAATACCGTATTGTTTTTCAAGTTGTTCATCATCACCACAAACTTCCCTATAACACTGCTGATATTGGACCTTTTTCCTTTCATTAAACATTAACAACTGAGGATAAATGACTGACGGTATAGAAAACAGAGATTTTCTGGGGTAAAGTAGATTTTTTGCCCAGACTGTACACAAATGAGCCATGTTGTGTGCCAGCTGGCACCCTGTACACAAAGATTTAATTTACCATACAACCTTCGTTTACCATGTTTACAACTTAGAAAAGGTATGAATAAATATTCTAGTTGCCTAGAGCTGGACCTCACCCAGTCTATTACCACTCTTTACAATATATCAGTGTTATAAATTCAAGCCACAGTTATGCACATGACATTCCAAAGGAGTATTCAAACACAAAAAAGTAATAACACTGGCCCAAACAAATGAAGATATTCAAGACCATTGCCTGCCCCATCTGTGAACGGGGGCTCTCGTGGCCTAGACTTTAAGGTGTTCGCCTCTCACTCAAAGGTGCAAGAAATTTTCTTCTCTAAAATTGTCTCCTTTCACCTCCTTTCCTACTCTCTAGCAATGTTCTGTCGTCTGCTTTCGCCTCCACTTTCTTCCCCCACCCCCTTTGCCCCCTCCTCTGGGCTCCTGACTTTTAAAAAAACCCTTTCTACAGTTACTCCTTGGCTTCTTCTTACTGCTGTCTTTCAGTCACACCCCTGATCTGGTAGGAAAGATCTACACTTTGCCTTCTCGGACAAGGGCGAAAAATCTCGGAGGTCCCGTGTGCAAGTTGCATAGGTTAAAGATCCCTTGGTGGTCTAAAATTGATAAGAGTAGGCTTCGGCCACCCCCTGGGCTAAATTCAAAATTTCCTACCACTGAAAATGTTTAATAAGTCCCGCGCGCTCATATGGCCTTATGCAACTGCGAAAGCCGTAAAACAATTACAAAAAAAGATAACCCCCCAAACATCTGTGAACATGATGGGCTGCATCTTGGCAGCACTGAGTCTACAGCCAGTAATTTCCTCTCTATTAAAAGGCGTATATTAGTCATATGAGAGAAAGATTTAATCAATAATAGCCCCAAACAAATATGCCTTCACTAGAATTGTTAATTTGACAAAAATCAGAGTATTTAAACAGTAAGTTCTCCTTCATATCCAGCTACCTGATTAAGAGTAAAAGAGGTGATAATGTCCTGCTCTTTGTGGATGATCTTCATGGGATCTCGAACTTGCTGTTCATTGTCACTGCTGGATGTCTTCATGGAAGCCGCCTGGAGGGCACAAACAGAAACGTTCACACAAGGAACGAGTTATTTTGGGGGAAAAAATTACAAAAAGATTTGACTTGGAAAATAAACACACACACACTTCACTTTTTTTTTTTCAAAACTGAAAAAATATTTTCAAATAGTAATACTAAACATGGAGCAGGCTGAATTAAACACACCAGTTAGCAGAAGTAGCACTTCAATTTTTATAATCACTTTATAATATAATGATGTAAGACCTCAGATGTTAAGCAGCATTGTATACCAGCACTCTTCCACACTGAGAGTATGTATAATACTCGCTTGGAAAACATATAGGAGGATGGTACAAATTTTATAGCCTCTAAAAGATGGCAAAAGTGGATGCCAGATATAAAAAACAGCTTGACAAACACTGATTTAATCCATGCATCAATCCATCATTATGTAATAAAACAGCTGCTGCTAATATAAGATTTTTTTCAACCCTTCAAGCCCCAGCCATTTTTGTGCATTCCCTTGCCCCAGTCCCAGCCAATACAGCAGTATTTCAGAAAAAGAGGCATGCATTCTAAAAAAGTGATGTGGTATCTTTGTAATTAGGTATAGATAATAACATACAACAAAGTTTAAAGGCTAATGAACAAATATTATGTCAAGTTTAATTAGGTTCGCTAATTTTCAAAAATGTGCAAATTCGGTACCCCTTGAAACTGAGAATATATGCTCTTGGGATGGTGGGAGGTACAAGCACTGCTGAAAATATATGCGCAAGGGGCTGGAAGGGTTAAAAACCAGAGAAAAAAACAACTGCTCCATGTAAGACTGTAATACGTCACTTTACAAAATGACATATGGCGGAGTCTGACACTAGTCAATCGAAATAAACCGTAATAATTGCTCCTAACGGTAACTGACCTCATTCTCCTCCGGCTCCTTCTTCTTCCTGTAGATGTACCGGAGGAACAGGTCTTTGAGGCTGTCCTGTCGCAGCAGCTGGAACCACAACCTTCTGATGGGGAGAGTAGCCTGAGCTGACCTACAGAAACAAGGAAAGACTTAATTACTGGGGTACATTGGATCGCAAATGATTATAAAATGTTTCAAGAATTAAGGTCTAGAAAGTTAAAATAAGTACAAACTCAGTTTATGAAAATCTGAAATTTCTGCTTCACACTGAAGTCAAAAGTAGTTCATGTCAGTTATTTGGTACCATACCGTCATATAAACAAAGTCTCTTGTCTTTTCACCAGCGAAAAAGTACCTCCCTATAAAGTATCCAAACTTCTGGGTATAGGAATTGTAAAAACAAATCACAAAAACAATAAATACCCCCCCCCCCAAAAAAAAAACAGGAAAAAAAAACAACCCCAACGTATCTACTCACAGGAAAGGTGAGTTCTCCGGCACCAGCAGAGCCTGCAGCTTGGAGCGGGGTTGACCGGCCGTCAGACTGAGGCCCAGGCCAGGAATGTAGTTGTCTGGAGCTCCGGAGAACATGTCTAGCCGTATCTGCAGCAGCTCCTCCCACTGCTCCAGCACCCTCATCACAGAGTGCAGCAAGGGGGACACATTGGGCAACTCTGGGGATGAACGTACCACACCACACATTACTCTATAGTTTAAATAGTGTAATTTAAAAGGCTTTTTAGCAACCTGGGATAAGCCAAACCCTCATCACAGAGTGCAGCAAGGGGGACACGTTGGGCAACTCTGGGGATGAACGTACCACATCAAACATTTCTTTGTAGTTCAGTTACTTAGCTATTTAGCGTGGGTGGTTGGCGGGTGCTCTGGTGTGGTTTGCTCCTTCTTTCCTATCAAACATCTGTCATCCTTATCTCCCCTCCTTCTTTTTTTGTCTATGTTACTCTCTTGTAACACATAATCTATTCTTCGGCACTTATATGACCTTATTGTGTTGCAAGTGCCGTAAAAAATTACTAAAACTAAAAAGCTATTTAGCAACTTGGGATAAGCCTAACCCTCATCACAGAGTGCAGCAAGGGCGACACATTGGGTAACCCTGGAGATGTACATACCACATCACACATTACTCTATAGTTCAAATAACGTAATTTATAAGGCTTTTTAGCAACCTGGGATAAGCCGAACCTTCATCACAGAGTACAGCAAAGGGGACACGTGGGGCAACTCTGGGGATGAACGTACATTACTTTGTACTTCATTCACTAAGCTATTTAGCAACCAGAGTTCAGCATGGAGGACACAGTGGGCAACTCTGGAGATGAACGTACCACATCACAAATTACTCTGTAGTTCAAATAACAAAATTTTAAAGGCTATTTAGCGACCTGGGATAAGCCTAACCCTCATCACAGAGTGCAGCAAGGGCAAATGCATTGGGCAACTGTGGAGGTTACAGGCTACATCACAAATTACTCTGTAGTTCAAATCACTTAGTTTATAAGGCTATTTAGGAATTTGGGATAACCCTAACCCAGATATTGGGCGCCCTTTTAAAAATTCAGCTGAGAATGATTAATTAAGACTTGTAACTGACAAATAAAACTAAGAAAAAGAGTAACTTAGAACCCAAGAATATCAGATTTTTAAAGTAAAGTGTCCAACATTTATTGATCAAAGATAATTTTGCTTCGGGAAATGAGCACGTATAGCTTTGATAAAATTAGTACCTTCATTACATATATGCAATATATTTTATTTTTTTTTAAAAGAGAAGAAAAAAATTGAAACAAAAAGAGGCGGTAGACGATGATAATGAGGAGGGGGGGGGGGAGGTCATATTCAACATCGTGACTGCAGAAATCCTTACCCGTGAGCTCGATGCCAATTTGAGGCAGGAATGTGTTGATGTTTTCCCTCACAGACTTGATCACAGCAAAGCGGATGATGCTCCAGCTGTACGAGTTTGAGTCGGTGTGCTCAGTGTTGGGCGGCTGACGGGCCCTGGGCAGGTGAACAGAAAAACTTCACTAACTCTTCTGAGCGCAAGAGAAATATGAAATAATAGCTGAATCTGCTCTAACGGCCCCTTGTATAAGACAACCACCTGTACAAACAGCCACTTCCCATTTAATAAGAATAATAAATGACATTTATATAGCGCTCAACCCCGATGAAAGTACACAGGCTCTGAGCGCTTTACAATACAGTACAGCGTACAACAGTAACATAAAACGTTGTGTTCTGACTAAAGAAAATTATTCCAAATATTCATCTTATTAATTTAAAAACAGAAACGACTTCAGCAGACATTTGAATGAATTAAAAGATCTGATCTCTCTTAAAGTACTTGGTAAAGCATTCCAGATCTTGGGGCCTTGGTATTCAAATGCCCTTTCACTCACTGTTTTAAGTTTCATAGACGGTCAAATAAATTTCTTTTTGTCTGCTGATGACCTTAAACTGCAAGTTGGAATGTACAGTCTTAACAGATTTGATAAATATGATGGCGCATTATCATTCAAATATTTGTGACATAGGGTGGCTGACTTGTACACAATCTTTTTCTCAACAGGAAGCCTTCATTTCCTCCCTTGTGTACTTTTAACACTATAATAAAACTGAGTAAGACGGCCACCTGGCTAAAATGGCCACTTTTCTCCTTGACAAAGGGTGACTGTCTATGATCTCTCAAGTGCTTAACACTTTGCCATCACAAGGCTCATATAGTAAAAACCCTTGCCATTAAAGGCAAAGGCATTTGGGGGAAAAAACAAAAGAAACTGGGTGGTAAACATCACCCATCGGCCAGATGTGACGACGAAGAGTTAATTTGTTTAAACCTAAAAAAGCAAGGTCACATTCCTATTTTGTTAAAACGGAAGAGGTAGAAACAAGGATATTTATTGTGAGCTGGGGAAGAAAATCGGAAAAAAATAATAACCAAATGCAAAAAACAGCAACACATACATCAGTTGAACATAACTCAAAACTATCAGCAGACTGTAATTTCGGAGAAGACGTCTAGACTAATCAAGTGAGGATCTCGTCTGGTTGACAGCTGTTGCAACAAAACCTGAACGTTTGATCTATGTATGAAAAGGAATGACATTGACAGAGATATCAATCTGTGAGTCAGGTCAACACTGACAAGGAAAGAAATTCAAAGGAAATTATGCCTAGCGTCAACCTACTTTTACATACATAGGGCAACAATTATTTCTTCAAAACTCAGTATTTACATTAAAGCAAGAACAATTGGCTTACATTGTGGTGTGCATTGGCAACAATCTTTGATAAATTATTAGCAAAAAAATATTCTCACTTTCTCCCAACTTCTTATCTCAGCTGAATTGTTGGATCTAAGTCCAGCAATTTAAGTCTAATTTTGCTGTGGCTGAAGGCTGCAAACGACAGGGAGGTGAATGAATAAACACATAACAGAGTCAAATCCCTCCGAGAGGCATTTTCAGAAATGTTGCTTTTTGAAATCTCAAGACTTACACTTGTAGAGGAAAAAACAGAAGTTCAATGTCACACATTATTAAATCTACACCTATCTACAGACATGTACTGGCTCAGACTAAAATATGGAAAATTCACAGTGACTTTGTCACTTGAGTCTAGAATGCTCACAAGGATTTTGGCCGAGTCCGGAATGTAGGGTCATCATCATCATCCTCATCAGAAAGATCCTCATCAGACAAATCTTCCGACACAAAAGAATCATCTGAATCATAGTCGATGATTGTCTCTGAAGAGGCAACAAATGGCTGAAAGGAAAAATTAAAACAAATTCAGTGAAGGAAGCACTTCATGACGTTTCTAAAATAACTATGATCAAATACTCTGCTTAAAGTGCCATTAAGGAGAGGTCTTGCAGTAAGAATCTGTGCATCTAAATTAAAAAAACAACAACAAAAAAACCGAAATATGACACTGCAATAAAATGGTTTTTAAAAAAAAGACACAATTTCATAAAAGAAATGGTAAACTGTGGTGACTGTGCCTTATGAAAAAGGAGAAAAACCTCCATGTGGAAACCCAGTACAAAAGTATCGTCAGATGTCATACTCAGGAGAGCTAGACAGAGACCAGGCACAATGCAATAATTGCAACCTCCACTGACAAATGTATTAGTTTGACTTTCACACCCACACAAAAGAATATTATTTCAGTAAAAGGCTCATGCCTTTAAAATCAACATCTAACTCATGGTCCAGATCCTTTACTGTATTATCAGCTCAAGTTTGAAAGCATTTCAGCGGGAGTTGCTTATACCAAAGTCAAGTGCATTGAGCTAACAACACAGGAGAGTATCTCACAGGCTGCGCACTTCCACAAATGGAAATGAAAGTTTTGAACACTCAAAATGTGGCAAACTCTTCCCTGCCAAAATTGGTCTCATTGGCACATAGCACAAACTACAAGTCATCTTAACCCTTATGTCTTCTGTTTATTGTAAGAAACATTCTCCTCTACAGGTGCATTGGTCATCATCAGACATTCAAGGATGGTGGTTTAGTGGTTAAGCTCTCAGACTAGCAACCGTAAGGTCCTGGGTTCAAATCCCATCAGGGGCCCGATGTTGGGTCCTTGGGAAAAGCATTATAAACAAATGTTCCTCACTTCACCCAGGTGGGAATGGGTAATCAGCTATAGACAAAGAAAGATCTCGTCAGTCTCTTAGTGTTTGAGCACTTAATCAGCTGCTTGCACTGTATGCCTCCCAGGAAGCTGAGAAAGTTTCTGAGTGTTTTATGGTCTGCTGGGGTAATAATATTGTGTGTAAAGCGGATAGAGCTTGCCGCCGAGTGGGGATATGCCCTATACAAATGCTATATTATTATTATTAGTAGTAGTATTATTATTATCATTGAGCGAACAGTGACCTGTTAACCAAAAGACAAACCATCAAAGTTCGCTGACCTTTGTCATGAAATAGTTGACCATACTGAGTTCCGGCGGCACAAACTTCTCCTGGTACGTCTCTTTGGTCTCCGTGCTGGGCTTGGTAGCTCCGGGGCCGCCCCCGCTGTTGGACATGACCCTCATGTTGAACATCATGCGGTGCTTGCTCACATCGTCCTGAGACCCTGGCACAGTGGACACAATCACAAAGAAAACTTTAACAAACACCGTTCCACTGTCTCTTGAGTTGAAGGCTTTAGCACTGTCAATACTGTTATCATCATGTAGGTAAAGGCCATCAGTCCCTGAAGGGGAAACTGAGCCCCCCCAAAGTAGTATTGAAGATTAAGCTTCTGGAACAAAATCTTTTGTCGAAAGTGATAGAATGTGACCTCCTCACAAAGTTGAGCCTGTAAGTATAAACTCAAAAACTTAAAGTAAATCCACAAAGCACATTCGCTTCACTGGGCTGAAGATGAATTCTGCATTAGGGCCATCTTGCTTATCTTACTTAAAAATTTAAAAACCAACTAATCAAAATTAGACAAACCTTTAACACTTCGCCTTCACATCTCGCTGATGGGCGATGTTTACCACCCAGTTTCTTTGGATTTTCCCCAAAATGCCTTTGCCTTTGATGACAAGGATTTTTACTACATGAGCCTTGAGATGACAAAGTGTTAAAAGTCTCAGCTCTGAAATCTTTAAGTTCCATGAACATTTTTTTCTTTGGTCTCTGCCGTACTTACTAGGAACAGATGCTTTCTCTAGCCTGACCACGGTTTTGTTGCCGCCTCCAAAAAGCGCTGCCCAGGTCTGAGCATCCAGCTTGTTTGCGACCAGCCTGTACAGCATCTGAGGGTCGTACATGCTGAAGGCAGAGATGAGCAGGCTCATGTACACCGAGATGAGAGACTCCGTCAGCAGCACGTTGATTTTGGGGGCATCCTCATCTTTTTCTCTGGCTAGAAGGACTTTGAGAGAAGTGACGCCTGTGGGATTGAAAGAGAGAAATTTTACAAGGATATGTGAGGCTATGTGGTGAAATCAGGCGCTTGTCAAAACAATGAAATCAAAGAAAACAGCATTTTCTAGGAGCTAGATAATTTGCTTCAATTTTTCAATATCTGGTTCAACACCTTTTATGTCCTTATAAACATGCATTTCTCAGTAGATGTTACCGAAAAAGTTTATTAAAGGCACGAAAACTGTAATTTCCAGTTCCAAAGGACTCTCAAGCTTTGTAAGTCACCAAACTTTGGCGCCATTTTTTTGGATAGTTTTACCTCTGGCATCAAACAACCCCACAACCTTCAATCCCAAATATCTCGCCTTCTATTCAAATATATAGATATTTTTCCGCCAAATGCAGGAGAAATGAACACGCTTTACGGAGATACTAATAACTCTATACACCCCAAAATTGACGAGCACCTCATCCCACCATGTCGTGACACATGTGTACAATTTTAACAAAAATAGAGACGTCAATCAATTAACACGTGGTCTGATTGTTATTTGAAATATTATGTATGCCTGTCATCAAAATTCAGGGAAAAAAACAACTTTATCTTCTGAAATGGCAGAAAAGAATTGATGAGTCATCACAGTTTTTGCAAAATTATATGAATAATAGTGGGTGTGTCGGCACAATAAGTATGTCTTTGTACCCACCAAGCAAAAGTACAATTCTGAGATTTATAATACATCGATGCCTATCCTAATAAGAAACTTCCAAATTCACTAGACATTAAGCTCGCCTAAGGGAAAGCATTTAAAGCCACAATGGTCACTGAGAGCTCAGAAAATCAAGGGATAACACAGATTTTTTAAAAAGCACAAGAAAAAAGTATGCTTACAGTAGACATCAATACAACGAAGTGTACAAACAGAATGTAAAGTGGCGCTAGAATGAAACAATACTTTTGAAGCCCCAAATTTAACAGTTTTCTTTCCATCCCCCCCCCCCCCCCTCCAGGAAAATGTGTCATTAATTTTAAAAGAGTCTGAAATGAAGTCCTGGAACCATTCATGGGGGACACTGACCAAGATGGCCCAAAACAGACAGAGCTGGAGATCCTTTGTTGTTGCCCTAAACTCCAGATGGCGTGACGGGTAGTATGTAAGTAATTTTAAAAAATATAACTGAATATTTTCCTTCGTTCTCAACACTGATGAGCCCCATCTTTCAACTACACTTATGAATAAACGTTGAGCAGGAGATGGCGAGGTAAATATATGACTCTAAATATAGCCCAGCTAACATTTTGTCCATAGATATACACAATAATGTATCATAATAGAACTTCCAGACCTGGCCATTTGGCTGGAGGGGTGTTGACCACTTCATCTCCTCCTCCGGTACCTCGGTGACGACTTTTCTTCACACCGGCCATCAAGTGACTGGACGGGTAGGAGAACTCTGGGCTGAAAAAGAGAGTAGGTAAAAAAAAAAAATTGTTTATTTTGATTTTGACCGTTTGTGTAAAAACAAGCACACTGACCCAACTGATAATTTAGCACAGTAAAAGAGTCAAGACTTACAGCCATAAACAACAGAGGAATAGAAGAGAAGTAAGATTTAAGAGTGGCTCCCACCAACCACCACAAAGAAAATATCAAGTAGTCACATGACGTGTACAAGGGAAAACCTACTGTACGAGTACTACAATATAGTCATCCGGACAACAACATGTCATTTTAAAGTACCAGTTGATAGAGGTTGTTGTATTTGCAGATATTACATTATGTCAGTAGCCACTAAAACCACGTTTACTATTTCATAAAAGAACAACTAGTAGTGACAGATATATGCCCCCCCCCCCCTGTATGTCAGCAGTATTTTTTCTAGTTATTTTAGTATGGGGTTTTACGGCGCTCGCAACTGCATAAGGTCATATGAGCGCGCGAAACACAAGTTAGTGTCGGCAGTATGAAAATTTTTGCCTCTTAAAGGAAGCAAACTCGGGGGATGGCCGGCCATAAGAAAGTTGACAAGCACTACATTAGATAATCCTCCAATGTAGCAACTGAGCTTCCCTGGTGTCCCCTCATGACTTTAAAAAAAACTTACTTGATGAAGCCGTCAATGCCAACATCGGTGCTGTCACTATCGGCCACACTGAAGGTGTCGCTGTCGCACAGACTCTGGTAGATGCACGAGGACAGGGCCACAGCCAGGTCCCTGATAGTGCTCACCACTCCGATGTCTGTGTGGGCGTTGGGCGGCGAGTTCATCTCCACCACAGCGTGCAGTAGGTCCTGTTGACAAACACAAGTTTTAGTAAGAGTTTTTTGTTTTTTTAAAAATAGTAGATGGTTTTACGGCGCTCGCAACTGCATAAGGTCATATGAGTGCCAAGGGGTGGGTGTCAACAGAAAAGTCTTTACAGGAAATCAGACTTATTCTGCTCACGTCTCAAGCTTCAACAGCACAAAGCCTGCTTTGACTATCAAGGCACCCAAAAATAGCAGGTCACAAGAGAGTGACAAACATACAAAAGAAGAGAGGAAAATGACAATAGTAAGGATTAGGAAAGAAAAAGCAGCAGTTCCCTGTTGTAAATCAGGCACAGTTATGAGTGTGACATGAATCAGCCCATTTAAAATTCTACTGTGCTTGAACGAGAAATGTCTCCCCTTTGGAAATGGCCTAAAGAAGCAAGAGTTTGATGGCACTTGCAACACAGTTACATTATATATGTGCCGAAGATTAGAGGCGTTACTAGAAAGTAACATACAAATCAATAAAAAAGTTTGTTTTAGTAGAGGTTTTACGGCACTCGCAACTGCATAAGGTCATATGAGCTCTAGAAGATTAGAGGTGTTACAAGAGAGTAACAAACATAAAAAAGAAGAAGGGGAGATAAGGACGATATATGTTTGACAGGAAAGAAGGAGCAAACCGCACCAGAGCACCCGCCAACCGCCCACAGTAAGAGTTTAATGGTACTTGCAACACAGTTTGATTTGATAAGTTCCGAAGATTAGAGGCGTTACTAGAATGTAACATACAAATAAAAAAGGAGGCGAAATAAGGACGATAGATGTTTGATAGGAAAGGAGCAGCACTCCACACAAGAGCACTCGCCACCCACCCACAGTGGCAATCTTAATTACCGCCTCAATTTTAGTTTGAGAGAAATAAAGCAGATTCACACAATAATGGTTATCTAGTGCATGGAAAAAGTAACATACACAGACAGAAACAATGACAGGAAAGAAAAGATATTGGGCCTACCAGTGACACCCTCCAACCACAAAGCAATGAAATAACAAAAAAAGACATGTGTTTTAGTAAGCGTTTTACGGCACTTACAACAAAATAAGGTCATATAACTGCCGAAGATTAGAGGTGTTACAAGAGAGTAACAAATACAAAAAAGAAGGAGAGATAAGGACGATAAGATGTTTGATAGGAAAGAAGGAGCAAACCAGACCAGAGCACCCGCCAACCACCCACTAAAGACAAGTGTGTACCACACCAGCATCACAAAGAAGGGCATAAACAGATCAGTCAAACAGATTGGCGACAAGAACAATGCTGAGGGTTTTTTCGAAATCTATATGGAAAAATCCAGAACAATGCACTACTTTAAAAAAGTGTAGTAGAACGCCACAATAATGATGTAAAATGTCCCACTTCAAGTGCCTCTAGAACATCGGGTATTCTGCTTTGTCGGGCACTAAGCTGAGGAGAAAGCTTATAAAAATGACCAGAAACATCCTTACACAAGTGCAGCTGAACCTAAACCTTCATGCTAGGCAAGCATACAAGCAAGGAAGCCCCAAAGGACAGCAGTCAGCCAGACATCCACACTGGAACTCGGCACAGGGATAAGGAACTGGACATTTCAGCTAGAGCAACATCACTCACCTGTATGCTGCCCTGCAGGTACTGGATGGGGTCAGCGATGACACTGCGGCAGTTGGTGATGCTGGCGGAGAGGAGGGGCAGGGTGGTGGGGAAAGGCAGAGGGGACAGAAGCTGCTGCTGGGGACGTTCTTGTTGCAGCTCCTGAAATGAGTAAGTAAAAAAAAAAAAAAAGGCAACGCTGATTATAATATGGCAAACAACTAGTACTGTGTGAAGGGAAATGGAATTGTGCTTGACAATTTCAAATCGACACGAGAAAAGAAACATTAGTCATCCCATCATCACATCACATCAAACACACACAAACCCTTTTCTTTCTTTTTACCAAAAAAGAATATCTAAATTCAGACAGAATACACATAATTCCTACTATCAGCACTTTCATTTAGCTCCTTCATTATGAGACTTGAGGAATGAACAAGTGCGTAAAGTGTACTAGCAGAATCAAGAGCTCCAAGCACCCAGATGTCATGGCTTTAATCAGAGAAAACATAATAAATCATTTGTATTGTCAGCACTTTTACTTTTGCTCCTCCACTATGATCTGAGGAGTGAAAAAATATGACCAGTATACCTGCAGAAGCAAGAGCAGCTCCATCCTCACAGAGGCGAGCCCCCCGCCCGCTGAGCCCTGCTGTATGCAGTACGACGCTAGAGTACGCAGCAAGTGCTGATTGGCCTTCAGCCAGGCTTTTCTGCGAGCCATCCGTGCCACCTTGCTCTGAAGGTCCTGCTTCTCGGCCTTGAACACTTCGTGAAGAGAGGCTTTCCCAGCGGACGTGTCCGACATCACTGAAGACGTTCGACCTCTGGGGGATTCCACGTCCAGGAGGTCCTGATCATCCAAGCTCGAGTTGTGAACTGACGGGGGGAGGGGGAAATAAATTGAGATACAAACTAAGATTATGGACAATAAAGATACTGCCTTTTTTTTTTCAGCATTTACCTTTTCTTTCAGAAAGCTGAAATACGAAGGATTAGTTATGGCAGCTTTGAACACAAGCATATTCAAATAGAAAAAAACAAAATTAACCAATATGAAACAAAAAAACAACATCCATACTTAAGCAATAAAAGAAAAAGGACAGCAAAATCACGGAGCATAACACAAATTTATTAACATACACATATTAGCGGAGTAAAAAAAGACCCCAACACATCTTACTTTCTTGTGCTTGCTGTGCTACAGACTCCTGGCTGATGCCATAGTTGCAGATGACCTTCAACACTTCAGTCTCCTTTTCCAGCCAGATATAGAGCTGATGTCTGAGTTGACCGCCATCGACCTCAAAGCCAGTTGCCAAATTGCCCAGCTCCTCCATGAGCACCTGGTAAGAAATTTCATGGAACAGTTGAGCAATAACATAAGAATTGTTTTACAAAACTAAAATGTCAATAGAATAATCAAAAGGCAAAAAGCAAGGACTGGCAAGATAAAGGTTCACTTTAGTTTTATTAGAGGTTTTACGGCGCTCGCAACTGCACAAGGTCATATGAGCGCCAGAAGATTAGAGGTGTTACAAGAGAGTAACAAACATAAAAAATAAGAAGGGGAGATAAGGACGATAGATGTTTCATAGGAAAGAAGAAGCAAACCACACCAGAGCACCCGCCAACCATCCACGATAAAGGTTAAATCTTAATGATCTAGAAAAAACAGTTATAGCACGCTCCAATCAAAACACACATTTTCTTCATATGACGGGCTTGTAACTATTTGGACATACAAATGCACGGTCACTTCTTCTAAACGCATGCTTCAATCTGTGAAATGCAGAGATCAATCTGTGGAAGGCATTGACGGGTAAAGCTTGACAAAGGGGAACCTTCACAACAGTCTAAACATGTATATTGTATTGTATAGTATAAGGTTTTACGGCGCTCACAACTGCTAAGCAGTCTAAACAGCTAGCATAATGATTACAAAGACTAGTCTAGACACGCGTCTTTGAGAGGTTTCTCACTGGTGTCTGGGCGATGGTAATGTTTAAATAAACCTATGATGTGCAACATGTGTGAATGCTGTAAAACACTAGATAGAGATTAATGATTTAATCAGGTGACTAGAGGTGCTCAAAGAACTTATACGAGCTCATTTTGTCGTAATACTGGTGAAAGTGAAACCCGCCTTCCGAGGGAGGTAACAGCAATCACTAAAATATTATGGAAATTAAATGGTTGCACCCCCCCCCCCTTTAGGTTCACATAAATGCATGCTTAGGAGCCCTCCCGAACACTGTGCTTTTAGGCAGAGACCACTGTAGCACAAAATGCATTTCAACATGCCAACTCACCTTGAGACAGGCGATAAACTTGTACTGCTGAGCCATGATGTCAATGTGATTGGGCTCCTGCTCAGCAACCTCCTCCGCCTCCGTCCCAAAGACATCATCCAACTTACTCGGACTCGAGTTCTCATTTGATTCTCCTTTTCTCTTACCATCATTTACACCTTCTCCATCTTCATCCTCCTCCTCATCATCGCTGTCACCGAGACCAAGGTCAAGCTCATCAAGTTCATCTTTAAAGGTGACTCGGCTAACAGGCGCGCCCCAGTCTATACTGGAGGCTGTGTCTTTGTTGTTGTTGCTCGAGGCAAGAGACTGCCCCCAGTTAAAGTTGTCAGCTTTGTTCTGACTAGCGTTGGACGCTGGCTGGGGAGAACTGAACAGATCAGCTGCACGATGCGAAGAAGAAGAAGAATTACTTAATCCAGAAGCAGAGTTTTGAGAAAGAGGCGAAGAGCTCATGTCACCATTTGAATTCCAGCCTCCGTTCACAGTCATTAAGTTAACGTCTCGCAGTGTTCCCGTAGAGCAGTTTATATCAGACATAGATTTTCGTCTTCGCTTGGCGAAGTATGCCATTTTCTGGAGATCTTCTTCCACCAGCAGCGGCCGTTTCGGCAGTTTTCGCATGACCTCAATGGCCACCAGGGGGCAGCCATTTTGGAAGTGTGCATGGGCAGCGGCAAAGAATAGTTGCCTCTCTGCTGGAGTGACCTGGTCAAGGGTGGTGATACCCTCCGAGACGACATTGTCTGTGTGCGTGAAGCCTGAGACCAGCTGAGCGCGTTGCTGCAAGGAGGAAGAAGCCAGCCGTAGCCGTGTGATCAGAGGGTGTGTCCGCAAGAAGTTGTAGAAGTTGAACACACGAGGGATCTGGAGCAGCTTGTCCGTTTCACCTTTCATGGCCCTTCCAATGTTTTTCTGAAATTTGATTTTTTTAAAGTCCATATTAAACCACTTTCCTTAACAAAAACTTGTAGCCAACATGAACAACTATTGTACCCGTAGTACATAACACAACAGATACAAAGTGGGGATAATATGCACAAAAAAAGCGCCCCAAAACAACAACATATGAAACAAAAGAACGTATGAAACATTTTTCACTGTAATAAAGGTGCTACTAAAGACTTATAAATATTATTCAACTTACAAAAATTGCACACCAAAACTTCCAATTGTCTTGAGATAGAACATTCTTTTTAAAAACACCGCCTAAAATAATTTTTGTGAAACTGAAACATTCAAACATAATTTTTACATAGGAATATCATTCACAAAAACGTTCTTGAGCAGAAAAATGATTTCACTAGAACTGCATTTTAAACTGTTTTATTGTTGCAACCTCCATTTTTTTTCTGAGTCATGATTTTAAGACTCGAGCTGAACATTTTATATTTTTCTAGCTTGGAAGCTTTGTTCTCTTTGTTCTAAAAACTCTGTTCAAAGAGAAGTATCTCACCTCTAGCAATGTGCGGAGGGAAGACTCGTAATCTTTCATCTGCCACAGCGCCATGGAGCGCAGGAATGGGTCGGGACTGGCATTCCTGGCATCATAGTTCTCACCGTTCTTGTCTAGGCCAAGCACATTCTCGTAGAAGAGCTTCTTCACAGACTCAGGCATGATGGACTCTCCGTCGTACAGACGACACAGCACCAGGGCAAGCTGCAGGTCGTTGAGCTTATCCAGGATCACCTGACACAGACCAGCACAGACCAGATATAGTTAAACCTCATTCTCTATTAGAAGAAATTGATAGCGCTTCGAGTTTTAGTTAGTTTAGTTTTAGTAGAGGTTTTACGGTGCTCGCAACTGCATAAGGTCGTAAGAGCGCCAGAAGATTAGAGGTGTTACAAGAGAGTAACAAACATAAAAAAAGAAGAAGGGGAGATAAGGACAGTAGATGTTTCATAGGAAAGAAGAAGCAGACCACACCAGAGCACCCGCCAACCAATATTACTTGAGCCAGAAGGGAGTGAGGGGTAAAAATAGCTTGGTGCTGCAAGGGTTAGTAACATTCTATTTAAGATGTTGACATCCGCAAATCCCAGACAGCTACATTCTGCTACCGAGCACAACAACAGCAGCAAGGGTGAAGCAATGACAGGAGCTTACTGTGTGACTGTCTAAAAACCATACACATTTCACTTCAATGTGTCAGAGGAAAACTGTCGCAGCAAATAATAGCTACAAAATATGAAAAATTAATTTCTTATGATTTATACAACACTCCTACACTAAACCAAAAAATTCACAAAGCTAAACGATTTTTTAAAAAGCATATATATGTATGGTCTCTATCTCCATTTACTAACGGCAGGGGTGCGACACGTGCTACCAAAATGCAGATGGACTTCTGGATTTGACTGAATCGTAAGCTGAAAGAAAAGAAGCCATCTCACACGTTATGGTTCACATGAAAAAACATTGAAACACAATATCTGAAAAGTTATATATTTTCCGACAAGAGCTTCCCATCCCCCCAGAAAAGGTTGTTTTTTCCCCTCTTTGTCCAGTACTCACACTGACAGCATTTTCCACTTGCCCTCCCAAGAAGAACAGAGCCGCAGCGTGAGTGAATTCACCCTTCCCCAGCAAGTAGTAGGCATTCTTTTTGGCAATACGCTGGTTCTTTTCTACAGAGAAGTCCAGAGCAAAAAAAGCCTCCATTTTGCTGTCCCTCACAGTTCTGGGGAGGTGAAAAACAGTAGAATATTTTCACTGTATATGTTAATGTATACGTCAGTACAAGACATTTCCAGAACAAAAACACTACACAAACATTGACAAAATAAACATGTTATCAGAGGGAAATATGAGAAAACACAATGCAAACAAACAAAAAGTTTTTTAAATGTCATATCCATTTGTGAAAAACAGAATGAAAAAGCCAGCAGTTATTTCAACTTGGAAACATTTTCAGACTAGACAGTACAATCTAAAGGCTGACAAGAACTAAGAGAACAAAGACAAAAGTTGACAGCTTTTAAATTGTGTTGTGCAGTCTGAGAATGGGGTATATATAATAATAATAATAATAATAATAAATGACATAATAGAGCTCAACCCCAATTAAAGTACACAGGCTCTGAGCACTTTACAATACGGTACAACGTACAACAGTAACATAAAACGTTGTGTTCTGATTAAAGAAAATTACTCCAAATATTCATCTTATTAATTTAAAAACAGAAACGACTTCAGCTGACATTTGAATGAATCAAAAGATTTGATCTCTCTTAAAGTACCTGGTAAAGCATTCCAGATCTTGGGGCCTTGGTATTCAAATGCCCTTTCACCCATTGTTTTAAGTTTCATAAATGGTTAAATAAATTTCTTTTTGTCAGCTGATGACCTTAAACTGCGAGTTGGAATGTACAGTCTTAACAGATTTGATAGATATGATGGTGCATTATTATTCAAACATTTGTGACATATGGTGGCCAACTTGTACACAATCCTTTCCTCAACATAGCCAATGCAAAGTTCGTAAAAAAGGTTTAGCAGAGTCTCGCTTTCTTTTCCGTAAAACTAAACGTGCAGCATTGTTTTGGACAGTTTGAAGTCTTTTAACTTTCTCCAGTGATATTCCTGATAACAAGGAGATACAATAATCGAGTTTTGATAAAATTAAGCTAGTTACTAGTAAGGCAGTACCTACTCAGTCAGTATTGTAAAGCCTCGTGACATGCGAAAGGGGGAGTACACAAAGAGAAACTTGGCAATTGTCATGAAGAAAATTGAGAAATCTTTGGGCTCATGATTTTGCTTGAACATCAACTTAACATTTCACATGTAGACGAGAGTAATCTAGACAGCAAAATTCTGTTTCTTAAAAGAAAAAAGAGGATAAAACCAAAACTAGAAACAAACCCCAAAACAGCTCAAAGATTTTGGTTTATCAGTATTCTGCAACATGACCAACGTCCAGTGACTTACTTGAACAGTCCCTTCATAATGTTCTTCTTCTTCATGGCCAAGTAGTAGAGAGCAGCGTCTATAGGGCTCTTGGTGGTCTTGAAGACGGTGTTTGCCACTTTGAGCATCAAGGTCTTGAGCTGAGTCATATTGTTGAGCCACCAGCCTACTCCGTACAGCTTCAGCTCACTCCACGTGGGCTCGTCTGCCTTCACACACGGGATGGCCGAGAGAAGCTCCTGGAAGTACAACATGCATCTATTAGAGGCAGCTTTTTTTATACAACATGCATCTATTAGAGGTAGCTTTTTTATACAACATGCATCTATTAGAGGTAGCTTTTTTATACAACATGCATCTATTAGAGGTAGCTTTTTTATACAAAATGCATCTATTAGAGGAAGCTTTTTTGACAATTAACATCAAAGCTTGTTTTTATTTCCTCAGCCCTTGATTCATGGTTAATTTTGTCAGCTTAAAAAGCTTGCACAACGAGGGTCACATCCATAACCTTTTTCATGCAGCACTCTGATGATATTACAGTACATGGCAAAGAGTCCACATCCAGAACGGTCTTATGATTATCAGAACAGTTGAACCTGTCCTAAAAGACACCTGTTCGAGACAATCATCTGTCCAAATGAAATTTTCTACTTCCTCCCCTGAATATAACGACATTATTCACAATGTCCACCTGTAAAAGACTAACTTTTCTCCGCGACAATGGGTGGCCCTCTTGGACAATCTTGACTGTACAATGTGCATGAAATAAAAAGCACATTGAATTGGTTGGGTACCTGAGTGGACTCTGAGTGGAAAGCCCAGACCAGATGGAAGGTCCTGATGCCCTCAGAGAGCAGCGGTTTCCTCAGCAGTGGGGGCAGCGTCATCACCAGACACTGGTACTGTCTCATGGCCAGCAGGAACCTCAGGCCACAGTCGTCCGTGCTGCCCTGCTCTTTCTTCTGGGACTCTGGGAACAGAAAAGTTCCAAACTGCTCTAACCTTTCCTTCACATAATGAAATAAAAGCAAGAGGGCTGGGCCACAACCACACCATCCATTCAGCAAGGGGCTGGCGCTATAGTGCACTAAGAGGCACGAGCTTGGGGTATATCCAGTGTTTAGCTGGGTCAGTCATTGAGGACAGCTCTCAAAAAGCAAAGAGAGAAGTTGGACAAAGACCTGACTGAAAAAGATGGGAAAATCTGACCAAATGTGTGTGACATATAAAAGAAACACAGAACATCTGTTTTAGGCAATGAAAAGGAGATCACAATGTATTCTTAAAATAATATATATACTTAGAAGCAGTCACACTTTTAAGACTGATTTATGTGATGAACTGACACATTTGAAAATTGACATATATTACATATATTTATATTGTGAAAATTGCCTTTCTGATTTTTAACCTGATGATTTGTTAATTGGGAAAAACTTACCATCGTAGTCATCGTTGAACTCGAGAGCTGTGGAGCCCACAACCTCAGCAAGAGCGGCCAGATAGAACTGGTCATTGCCAGACAGACCGGGGAGGTTCAGCTTGAACAGATATTCCCGCAAGATGTTGGCTTGAGCAGACGTGAAGCAGTACGGGTCAGACGGGGTCTTTGCACTCCCAGACGGGAGACGTGGCCTCCTGGGATTACTGCTGGAGCTGTCGGCCGAGGTGGACAAAAGCAGCTGGTCATCTAACTCATCATCGTCATTCCGCAAGATGTTTGGGTTCAGCAAATCGTTGTAGTCCGTCTCCCTGTTCTGCTGGCCTGTGGCAGTCTTTGATGCTATCTCCGAATTGAAAGGAGTCGCGTCTCTGTCAGCCGCGATGAGAGCGTACAGTGGAAGAGGTGGGATGGACTTGATCTCAACGTAGTTGATAGGTGCTGCCTCTGCATCCATGTCGTTCTCACTGCGGACCGAAACGCTTCTCTGGCGCGACAGCTTCACACTCAGGTGGCCATTGTCCAAATGATCCTCTGAAAAAATTGTCTGAACTCCGTCTGAGCCACTGATGCACCTCACCAGGTGGGCCAAGACTGCCTTGACCCGCTTCGTTTTGCCGAAGTTCAGCAGCTCCATCAGCAGCTTAGGATGGTACTGAGGTAATACTGGGTTGGCAAATTTGGCAGCTTCAAAGAGGCCACTGTCGTACAACATGGGCAAACTGGAGATGCTGTCACTGCGGGCCAGGCTGATGCTGCCCTTGGACGTCGCTGACGTTTGGTTGGAACGTTTCCATGCATCTTTCTTTGACGATGGCAGCTGGCCCGAGTTGACAGTCAAGTGCTTAAAGTTGGACATGGACAGGGACGTTTTGAAGTTTGATTTGGACTTGAAGTTGTGACACAGGTTGAGGCTGGACGCTGCCGTGACTAGGTTTGCTTCTGTCAGAGTTCTCTTGTCCATGGTGGACTCATCCTCAATCACTTCAACATCAGCACCATCTGTTCTCCACTGGGTGAACACCTGAAAGTTAATTAAGTAACTGATAGTAAGAACTAATATTTGAAATTTTAAATAATAATAATAATAATTACATAACTCAACATACCTAGGACAACAAGGTCAAATTAGGCCATTATGGGCTATCTTAAAAGAGACAAGCTTACCCTTTCCAATACATTACAGCTTCATTAACCAAAAATGAAAGGTTAATTGATCCAGTGCTTGATAGAGGAGTATTCCATAAAAAAGTTTATAATAAAATCTAGCCTTTAACCACCGAATTTCCTGAAATGAAGAGACAAGAAAGCGTTCTTTACATCCTACTTCCCACTCTGAAACAGTCTTTGTTGCAATATGTAGTCTAGCATGCACATAGTGAAATCAGCAGGACTTGGAAATCTTTTCTTTAAGCACAAATTTTGCTATGTATTTGATTTTCATTTTGAAAATAGGTGCGAAAAAAAATTTGGGACCAGAAAATCTGCACGCTATGTGCCTACTAGACTGCTCGCTCTACGGCAAGGAGAGGCAATGAAATCAAGTTAAAATTCCAGAACTTACTGAATTGCATCTAGAAAGACTACTACAGTACATCTGTAAATTAGAACGCTCACAGCTGTCAACAGATTCAAAGTATGAAAAACAAGAGTTTTAAAAAATTATCAGAAAAAAAAAGGAGCATAGTTAAAAAGAGTCCTCACCTGCATCTCATTGTCCATGCCTACAACAAGAATGCCCGCTCGGACCCAACTAATGTGCATAGGCAGAGGTGGCAAGCCGTCGGCCGTGGTCAACTCAATGCCCTTCAGACGCATCCACTGAATCTCCTCCTGGAACTCCTCAGCAACCATCGACTTGTTCATGGTCAATTTCTTGCTGCTGGCGAAGGCAGACCTCTTGTCTTCCTGGGTCTTTTTCTCTTCTTGGCTGTTCAGATTCTTCAAAGATCTGGCGATCTCGTTGGAAACCTAAAAAAGAAAACAAAATGTATTAGACTATTTTCGAGATCAACAAAAATAAATAAATATTTTTTCAGAATAGACAACAGAATTGACGCTCATATGACCTTATAAAGTTGCGAGCGTTGTAAAACCTCTACTAAAACTTTAAAAAAGACAACAGAAAACAGCAAAATAATACACAAGTATTTATCAAATGGTGGTGTAACATTGTTCCCTTATCTATAAACACTTATTACATAGGTAAATTAAATGTCAAGGGCAGGTGAGCTTAAAGAGTTGATGTTTGTACACAACAACGTGTGACACACTTCATTTTGGCAAGTTGCACATTTAAAAAGAGATCAAAAGATGAACACTTAAGCATTAACCTAGTAAAGCAAGCATAAAATATGTCACAACATAAGAGAAACACCTTCTTCGAAAAAAGCAACCAAATAAAATGACATAGAGAAAGACTTTCTTAGAAAAAAAACAACCAAATAAAACGAGAAAATGAAAGACCTTCTAGGGACAAAAAACCCCCAATAAAACAAGATAGTGAAAGACTTCAGGACACAGCAATAAAACAAAACTAGGTACACTGAAGTCAAGTGTTTACCTGTCCGTAGATGAGCACCTTGGAGCCCACCCCAACCGTCAGCAGGTGGGAACCATCCTCTGTGGAGGCCCAGTCTAGCTGCACCAGGCACTTCTGCCTCAGCAATCCCTTCTTGTTCCCCTTCTCAGAGATGGACTTGCGCACCGACTGGATGGTACTCAGGCTAGGCACTGATTTGGTGCGCGTCATGAACGCAGCCGCCGTCTGCGCAGCGGGGAGCTGCATCGCCTCCGTCGGGTCTGGGATCTGCGGGTTCTCAACACTCTGCAGCATGTACATGTCTATCTCATTCTTGGGATCTGGAATCTTGATGTTATTCAGCTCTATCACATCTTCCTGAACCCACTCGGAACCACCTGCAATGGTAATAGAGAGCAACAAAAAGTATGAGGATTCAGAAATTTTTTTATCTTAAAAAAAAAAAAAAAAAGTATAAGTTACTGCTGCGAAAAAGTAAGATAGAGAGACAGAAACAATGGAAAGAAAGAAATTGTATAGGGCCTATCAGAAGCACCAGGTTTAGGCGACTACAAAAAAAACTCCAGAAAACGGTAGAAAAAACTCAGGGCTTAAAGAGTTAATCATTATCTACATGAATTTGACTTTCCAATTTGAGGCTGGTTCAAGGCGAGTGGTAAAGAAACACGCTCCCACCTGTGGACTCACACTCCAGGATGACCACCCGGAGGTTGACGTACTTGTCCTCGGGGTGCTCCGACTGCGCTCTGACAGGCCCCGACCTGTACGCCACGGCGATGCGGCCGCTGTAGGCACAGCTCACAGCAATGGGACGACCTGTGGGTGAAAGCAGCATTTGTGTTTTGTTTTGTTTTAGTAAGGTTTTTACGGCGCTCGCAACCGCATGAGGTCATATGAGCACCAGAAGATTAGAGGTGTTACAAGAGAGTAACAAACATAAAAAAGAAGAAGGGGAGATAAGGACAATAAATGTTTCTCAGGAAAGAAGAAGCAAACCACATCAGAGCACCCGCCAACCACCTGTGGGTGAAAGCAGCATTTGTGTTTTGTTTTGTTTTAGTAAGGTTTTTACATAAGGTCATATGAGCACCAAAAGGTGGATATCAATAGAGAAGTCCAAACTGGGAATCAGGCTTAATCTGCTCACCTCTCTAGCCTCAACAGCACAAAGTCTGCTTTGACTATCAAGGCACCCCCGAAATAGCACAAGAGTGTAACAAACATACAAAAGAAGTAGAAGAAAAATAGTAAGGATTAAGAGAGAAAAGGCTGCAGTTCAGGCACAGTTATGAGCATGAAATTGATGAATCAGCCCGTTTGCAATTACAATTCTACTGTGCATAAGAACATGGTTAATGTCCCCCCTTTGGGAAAGGCCTAAAGACACTTCAGTCAGTAGCACTGCCTTGGGGGGTAGTTGTTATGAGTGAAGCACAAACTAACTGTACATAATACATAGGTGTGCTAACAAAACATAACAACAAAAACAAAAAGGGAGGGGGGGGGGGAGGAGGGAGGGAGAGAGAGAGAGAGAGAGAGAGAGAGAGAGAGAGAGAGAGAGAGAGAGAGAGAGAGAGAGAGAGAGAGAGAGAGAGAGGGAGGGAGGGAGGGAAGGAGGGAGGGAGGGAGGGAGGGAGGGAGAGAGAGAGAGAGAGAGAGAGAGAGAGAGAGAGAGAGAGAGAGAGAGAGAGAGAGAGAGAGAGAGTGAGAGAGAGAGAGAGAAGAAAAAAAGGAAACAATTTTTTATCCACAATACGAAAGAGTTACGCAAAATTCCTCACAACACCGATGCTTCATAAAAGAGGAAAACATACTGCAATTATTACCTGAGACAGAGACAGAGCTGGACCTGTCAGCCGCGGAGCACGGCCTCTCCCACTCGGACCACGTGTACTCAAAATCAAGGCGCTGTTCTTCTCGCCGACTCTCAACTTGGGGCTGGCCTTTCACGTCCCCATCCTCCAAGGAGAACTCGTAACTCGTTACGTTGTGCACACTCGTCTCCATACTGTTCTCGCTCACGGCTGAGAGGCTGCATCGCCAGAATCGAACCTCACCGTCAGAGCACGCTGTTACAAACTGGTAGGGGGCATAGCACGCTGGGTAGATGGACGCAGAACTCAGATGGCCACCAGCTACCGAGCAAGAGATCACTTCCACCTCATCTGGAAGAGGGAGAAGCTGTGTGCAAACCTGAATGAGACAAAAAAAGCAAGTGGATTAAACTAAATTTTTTATTCTTGTACAGCTTTTCTTCAGTTTCAGCATGTTCCTTCTTCAAATTGAAGTCATTTAAAACAGATGAAATTTCTGAAATTTCAAAGAAGAGATGTCAGGAAAAAAGTAATCAAAGACTATTTTATGAAGGGGCTCTCAGCTTTGATTGTGATATAGCAGGATAGCAATCTCACAGAAGAAAAGTTCAACTACGCTCCCTTCTCCTATTACTGAAAACAGTATTTGTTAACACGCTTATGTCCCATCTTATTGACATGTGTTGGAACACATCAAAGCATTTAAACAGTAGAAAACAAAACAAGCCACTATCTTAACATACAAATAATTTCAAAGTACCAGCAATGAGTGAAAGTACGTCTGACCAACCAAACTAATGACTCACTTTGGTGGTTCTGACGGACATGGTCATGACTTGATGTGAGCCAGAATTGTTGTGGTAAGCTTGCTTGTAGTTCAAGCCATCAGGACTCAGCTCATCATTGTAGCTGTCCACAAGGTTCTCATACTGGTTCCAGTCATACCCACCTGCACACACATAAAAAGAGACAGTCATTCTTTAATTTTTTAAAAAAACTATTTTTTTTATAGTAGAGCGTTTTACGGCGCTCGCAACTGCATATGGTCATATGACCGCCAAGGGGTGTCAACAGAGAAGTCTTTACAGGGAATCAGACTTACTCTGCTCACCTCTCTAGCTTCAACAGCACAAGGTCTCCTTCAACTATCAAGGCACCCCGGAAATAGAAGGTCACAAGAGTGACAAACATACAAAAGAAGTAGAAGAAAATGACAATAGTAACGATTAGGAAAGAAAAAGCAGCATTTCCTGTTGTAGATCAGGCACAGTTATGAGCATGACATGAATCAGCCCATTTACAATTCTACTGTGCTTGAACGAGAAATGTCCCCCTCTGGGAGTGGCTTAAAGACACTACAGTCAGTGGCACTACCCCGGGGGGGAAATGGGATTGGTACACTACGAGTAACAAAGAAATTCAAAATAGTAATAAACTGCAAACGCTTTACAGTAGACAATCAAAGTGCGACACGGTTCAAGAGGCTACAACAGTGTGTATTGGTGTGTAACAGAAAAAGAATAGTATTAACACTTTGTGGTCACGACGCAATAATGACCCCGTGATAATTATCCGTTCCGGTCACCTGCGCCAGGCCCGAGAAGTCCGTTGCAGTCTCTCTCATGGCTGGGTGACCAGACGGAGTATTTTGTACTACTGGCTGTGTGACTGCAAAGTGTTAAGAACGCAATCACAAAGATTACAAGTTTTAATGCTTAGTGTTGGACAGACAAACTTCTTTAAAATCTTGATCCATGAAATACATTTGGATGGTGCTCTGGCTTATTGTGAATTTCAAATTATATTTAAGAAATATACGTAAAGAGTTGAAATTATCCAAAACTGTCGGCCACTCACTGTCGAGGAAAACAGTGGTTGTCTTAAACAGTTAAATGTCTTGGACAGTGTAATTAAAAATGAAAAAAAAAACAACAAGAGGGATGGGGGGGTAAGTGGTTGCTTGCACAGGCTACTGTCTTGGACAGGTGGTCGTTACAGAGGGTTCGACTGTATACATATTATATACATTCATATATACTTCATATATATCTATTCACACTACAATTATACTATTCAGAACAATTTTGTATCTTTTCAGCTGCAAGAGTATCTTTTTTTCCAGGGTGTATAAAATTGTCCACACACACACACACACACACACACACACACACACACACACACACAAGCTGTCACTCACCATTCACATTCCCCTCAGCGCTGGGCTTTGAGTCGATGGTCAACTTCCACATGTGCAGCACCGTGCCCGCGCCAGGTGGCTTCTCCAGCACCACCAGGAAGAAGTTCTCATCAAACGTCTGCTGACCGCTCAGGTCCACCACCGCCTCCGTGACGTTGTCGCCCTCCTCCCCCGTGATCAGCTGCTCCTGGTACACGTGAAGCAGCTGGATGTTCTGCCAGTCCTGTGACAGCAGGAAGCACACAGACAAATAGGAGAATGTTGAGTCAGTATTCTTTTTTAAAAAATCCACTTAAAACAATTTAGACCGATTATTTCGAGGCCGGAACAAGTCTTTCACAAAGAGGAGAATGTTGAGTCAGAATTCCTTATTCCATCCACTCAAAAACAATTTTGATTAATTATTACGAGACCAGAACAAGTGTCTTCATGGGATGAACATCTCATCCGACATGTGCAATGGGTCAACATTCTGTCAGCTCTGAGATGTAGTGGAGAACAGAAAAAGGTAAGCTTTGGGAGGGTTTTTTTTGGGTCCCATGTCCAGATTTGGGGTCAGTCATTTGTAAGTTATGAAGAAAGTGAGTCAACATTGTAGTTACTGTTATACTAGAAAGAAAAAAAAAACAATAAAAAAACAAAACAGGAAACTTGTTTGGAAATAGATGATGATGAGGCATGAGAGTTTTGCGCCCTTACTGAACCCATTCACTGTTAACATTCTGAACTCTTCATGACATTTTCTGTATTCATACAGGAGAGACCTTAGCTTATAACATTAATACGTTTTATAAACTTTATTTTTACTAATATCTTTATTTCTGTACTTTTAAAAAGGAGGTAAGGTTGCTATTAATAACAATCGGATGGGCTGCATACTGTCAGCAAACTGTTCAAATGTTTCAAATCCCACCAGGGGCCCGACGTTGTGTCCTTGGGAAAGGCACTTTGCACAAACTTTCCTCACTTCACCCAGGTGGGAATGGGTACCCGACCATAGACAGAGAACGATCTTGTCAGTTTGATAGTGTCTGAGCGTGTGAAATCCGCAGCTTGCACTGTATGCTTCAGCGGAAGCCGAGAATGTTTCGGAGTGTTCTCAGAGGGTCTGCTGGGGTAATAATGGTTGTAAAGCGCATAGAGCATGCTCTTGAGCATGGATATGCGCTATATAAATGCAATTATTATTATTATTATTATTATCTAAACAGCAGGCCGATGGCGTTACCTGCAGTGCATCACTGATGGCATCCAGCTCCAGAACACAGCCTGGCCGCGTGGACGACTGCAGCGAGGCAATGTTGAACAGCTGTTGGGTCCATGTCGGAAGATGTTGTGATGGGGTCGGGGTCTCGGGGTAGCTGGAGCAGGTGCTGCTGCTCATGTTAGAGGAACTTGGTTTCTGAGGAACAGAAGAACAAGTTTAGTTTTAGTAAGTGTTTAACGGCACTTGCAACACAATAAGGTCATATAAATGCCGAAGATTAGAGGTGTTACAACAGAGTAATAAACATGAAAAAAGGAGGGTAGATAAAGACGATAGATGTTCGATAGGAAAGAAGAAGCAAACCACACCAGAGCATCCACCAACCACCTACAAAAGAATTTTTAAAAATAAAATAAAATAAGAGAAAAGATAAAATACCAATTTAATGAATCCTCTCAAGGCAATTCAGTTCACAATGGAAAGTTCAACAATACATGCTATACTCCCAATATCACATCAAAAGGAATATTTTACAATTTCTTAATGGACTGTTTTACCCTTTCCATAGCCGGTGACAGTGAGTGCCCTTAAAAAACACCAAAAACAGTTTCTGGTAGACTGGCTCTTGAAACAGACCAACATGCAGGAGACAATATCACCGTGGCTTTTGTCTTTTCAGACATTGAGTAGAAGAAATAGCGGCCAGGAGTGTTTGTGAAAGGGTTTAAGAGAAACAAGGAAAGGAGAGGGGGGGGGGGGGGGAGAGGAAGAGAGAGACAGACAGACAGACAGAAGACAGACAGAGCAAGAGAGACAGAGAGGAAAGCAGGAAAGTGAGAGACTCACACACAGAAAAAAAGTGAAAGCAAAAAAGCAAAGACAAAAGCACATACAGAAGGTTGGAGGTGGGGGTGTCACACACACACACACAACACACACACACACACATACACACACACACATACATATATACACACACACACACACACACACACACACACTGACCGTCTCCATGCCGGTGGTCCTGTCCATGAGCAAACTGCGAGCGTCGATGACGGCCTGGAACAGGCGCAAGCACTGACCATCTGAGGCAACAAACAGGGCACTGGGACTGTTACTGTAGGAGCCCAAGCAGGTGCTGCAGACACAATAACACATAGAGAATGTCAGGTCAAGTCCACAATGAAAAACTTAACGAACGATTTATATACAAATTACACGCGAGCAAAACTCTGAATTTTGTGAACCTGAAGGCTCAGAAACCATAAGATATTCTAAAATTCTGATTACTCTAGGAAAAACAACACAATCTGTTGTTGTGTACCTTTCAGTAATAGGCATTGTATTTTTGCTATTTTGTGCCTTTTTCACCATTGTATAACTCACAACTCAGATCCATAATTTTTTGACGAAGACGACATTCTGAAAGTACATAACCAGGCAACTCTTAGAGTGCAGCGATGTGAATAAATCCAACGCGGTGTGCGCAGTAATTTTTTTGTGCAAGCTGATGGAAATAATATACAAAGATATACAGGACGACAAGTATTAGAGTACAGCTTCACACTAATGACATTATCATTCTTCTTCAAGACTGTTTGAATTTAACAGAAGTGGATCGACATAGGTCATCTAATGCATGGAAAAGGAAAAAAGACATATCGAGAGGAACAAAAGAGGAATAAGGAAGAAGAAGAAAACCAAAAACAAAAAGAGGAATTTTATGGTTGGTTCTGACACAATTTATCTTCTCACAGAAAGTTTGCAGTCAGCTGACAAATTATTGCTCTTTCAAAGTATGTCCCCCTCTGACAATGCTTCACCTGTTTCCTCTTTCTTTCAATTTTACCTTGCTAAAAATAAACTTTTTTGACCTTTCAGAGAAAAAAAGTATACAAGGCTCTGCATATACATCTTCTATTTGTTTTTTTAAAAGGGCTCTGAAAAACAGGGCGTTAGTTTCTTTGGAACTATAAATACGAGACACATCAGATGCAGAACTTATCTGTATATGAATGCAGAAAATGTTAGCAGATCGTATTAAAAAACAAAAAAACAAAAACAAAGAAAAACCCAACTGGCTTGTTACAAAGGGTGTACTGTTGCACCTGGTGATAGTACATTCTGTTTCTAATTTCTGTCTCCACCCAGGATAAGGATCGGTCAAACCATGACATGATGGCAGTGAAAACAAAAATAATCCAAGTAAAAAAGAGGGAAACAGATCAATCTTTCCAAACATTTTATGCTTTGACTACAAGCACGTGTGGGACAAAATGATGCACCACTGGTACTACTGGCTTGGAATATACTCATGTTAGTAACAAAAATAACCTTCCAGGTAGGACATTCAATCGACTTTCAAGCTACATTTGAGAACTAATGGTGTCAAAATTTAAACTTTGATAGTTTGTTTTCACTCCTTACTCCCAGCTAAGCATAGGAGATGTTTCGTCAACTAGACAATAAAAGTCACTTTATAAAAAAAAATTTCTCTTAAAACCAACAACATATCAAAATGATTATTTCAAAACTCCAAAATACTGAAACCTTCGCATGGGGCATGCACCCACAAAAGTACAAAATACTGATTCCACCTTTTTTTAATAAGGGAAAAAAAACCCCCCAACAAAATGCAAATGAAAATGCACACAAAATTACAAACAACATATCTGAAGAACTAAAGAAAACAAATGAGCGACTATATACTATCCAAATTATCGTTATAAAAAGTGAAAACTGGGGCTGTAAATCGGAGACGAAATTTTGATTAAATACTTTGAAAGATGTTCATTATAACCAACATGTTTTGATAGGTTTAAGCACCAATTTGTTTTTGGTTATATTCTGTTGTCATTTTAGATCTTACTCACTGTCAGCCTCAATAATTGTTTTTTAAAGTAAAAGTTAAAATAATCTGGATTAATGAACAAGATTATCACAAAATAAATTAAAATGTTTGTGATCAAGAGGGCAAACGATTTAGAGCGAGCAAACAAAATCAAAGTCTAGCTCAATCTGTATTTGCATGACCAACCGTGGAATGTCTACTAAGTAAGAGAAAATGGAACCGTTACCCAATTATATGTTTTTAAAAAATCCCACTTCTATTGGCAAACAATGTACAAAATAGGAGAACAAGACTGTAACAAAGTGCAATTTTGTGTCATGGAAAGGAAAAGACATCTGTTATCTAAAAGCATCCCCAAAAGTAAGCTTTAAAACATCCCAAAGAGTATTTCCAAAAACATTTCCACCAAAAAAAAAAAAAAATCCCAAGAAGTGTTCTTTCTTTAAAAAATCCCCAAAAAGTAAGTTTTAAAACATCCCAAGGAGTATTTCAAAAAACAACAAAAAGAGGTATTTTCTAAACTAAAAACATCCCAAACAGTACTTTCTAAGATTTCCAAACAGCTCCACACATCCAAGACAAAGTCAATGGGCAATGGGAAAACACAAGCAAAACAAGCTCTTACTTGTCCCGACTTTTGATCTTTTCCCGCTTTTGATTCCACCTACAGCGCAAAATCACACAAAATTCACACAAAATGCAATCCTTTTCAAACCACATCTGAGCATCATGCAAAGCTACAAAAACGTTGGGCATTCTCTCGAGACAACTAAATGTGAATTTCAGTGTCCATATTATGCAAACACTCATTCATGTGGTTGTACTACTCCAAGTCTAATACAGTGCTTGCCAACCTGAGTCGTACCACCCACTTGTGTGGGATTCGCTAATTTTGGTGGCCAGTGGGGATCGTCCGAGTAGTGACAGACAAGTGTTATTTTATGTCCTGCTTGGGAATTCATGTAGGTTGGTTGTACAAAAATATAAGCCTGCCTCTTAAAGGTGACAAAACGAGCGCTGGCTATCAAAAGGCTGACAGTTACTGGTCTTTTATATGGGATGGTGATTTACATCCACTGACCCTGTGAGGCTAGTTTTTGCTGTCCACAGAGTTTAAATAACATTATTTCAGCTGTGTCAAAGTGCACTATGTGACAATATTTATAGTACTATCTTATGTAAAACAATTGAACAGAAGGCATTCATAAAGTGATTGGGGCTTAGGAACAGGCATGGTGTTCACCTGTCAACCACGAGTTCCCGAGTTCAATTCCCACCAATGTTGGTTGCTTGGGGTTTTTTCTCATGTTTTCAACACCACTGATCCTTGGGTAGTTAACATCCATAACCTTGTCTTCTTGGATAAATACAAAAAATTTCAGAGGTCGTGTGTGGACTTTTAACATATTGAAGATCCCTAGGCAGTCTTAAAATTAAAAAGACCCCTCCCAGCAAAATTAATTCCCACCCAAAACTGAAACACTCCCATCTGTATAACTAAAAGCACAGTCAAATCTGCCTTAGCAATTACCTAGAGGTCAGCTGTTCCAACGGCCCTGTTCTGTGACATCCTTACATTATTCGTATTGTTTGGCCTGTCCCTAGCAGTACCTGCTCAATGTGGCCATGGTCAGTCATTTTTGCAGCATGCCAACCTCAAAATTTGCTCATGGCGGTCACTCGCTATAAAAATGTTCCGCCAACCCATCCTAAAATTGAGTATGCACGTTCAATCAAAGCAAAGAAGCAGCTGGACTTATTGCCGGGTGGTGAACTAACCACTAAACAAGAGGAGCGCTGGACTTATTACGACTTATTACAGCCTATAGTTGGGGATGTAAAGGCAGCGTGGAAAGGAACTGGCCACCCTACCACAATATGCCAAAGGCCCAGGAAGTTGTCTCACTAACAAGGCAATCCCCAATGTCCGGATCGGATGCGGGAACAACTTAATTTTACTTTTTACAGCCTATACCCAATGACGTGTGAGTACCCAGTGTACTGAAGCGATGTGTTGTTGGTGGTGGTTTTCATATATGTACCATTTGGGAATTCGCCTTTATAGGTAAAGTAAGTAGTCATAATTCAGACCCTTTCTATTGCGGCCACCTATAACAGTCACTTTTCTCTGTGATCTTGAGAGACCACTATGGAGGGGTCCAACTGCAGCTTCAAAAACAGCATGTGGCTACCTGTCAAGCAGGGGATGATTCTCCATTCTACGTACATAAAATGACCCATACATATTTATAAAAATTCAACTGCAGTAAGGGATGAAGATCTGACTGTCATTTACATCCTGAGCTCTAGCAGGGGTATGCAGAAGAAGAAGAAAAAGATAAAGCAATGTCATACAAGACCAAAGGAAAAAAAAAGCAAAATGACAGGGAGAAGTTAAAATTAAAAAAGACACAGGCATAACCTTCTAGGGCAACCGACGCACATCACAATCTAAAGACAAAGACCTTTTTTTTTTTTACATACTATCATACCTGCTAGTAGGAGCGGACCAACAAATAAAAAAAACCCATATATTCAGAGCTCTTTCCATCCCTTGTTTTTCACATACTACAATCAAAAGTCAGGTCTGTACACTGAAACTATCAAAATGAACAAGAGCCAAGTTCTCTTTTCCTCTCTTACAAAGATAAGGATGGGAAGTGGGCCGGATCCCCGGCATGAAAATTAAAATTCCTAATGTTAGAACATGCACCATATATCCAATGTGCAGGGCTGAATTAGCTTCTGCAAATGAAAATGGGAGACAGCTGTTAGAAAAGAACAATTAAGAAACGGGACATTATCCAAAAATGAGAAAACATGGTAGCATTCACACTCGCATTCAAAGACATTGTTGAGGATGTATGGGATGATTGTGACCCAAACACAAAATGTACCGTATAAAATAAAATATCCTTGCATGACCATATATAATTTCTGCAAGAAGGTTTGTGGGTGCAAAGGAATAAAGTGTACAACGCCATCAAGTGAAAATCAATGTCTAAGGGTCATGCTTTTCCTCTTGCTAAATCTAAAGGAAAAAAGTCTTCACAACTTGTATACTTACAAATTTAATATTCTCAAAGCAGTGGAATTAGAAAAGTATAATGGTGTTCTCAGTACCCATACATCCATGACCACATAATTAGGTTATATCATAATAAGCCAAAAGCATTTGTTTCAAATGAATAAACAACAAAGCCTGACAAATTGTATATTATTGTATATTTACAATTTAGAAACCCCTTAATACTAGACACATTGGGTTTCACTTCTGATTTCTCGTTTTCCCTCGTCAAATATCCAAAATAGCAACTAAGATAAGCAAGCAGGAGCCCCTACTATTGATATGGTGCTCAGCCCCAGATGTAATGTCCTAGAAACCTGCTAGTGTGAACCGCTTAAATGTTGTGTTACTTATTTTTTTAAAAGCAAAGCATCAAGCTGAAATGAATCTTCATATTCCAGTTTTCTTTTGCGACCAAAAACGAACTACATACATTCAAAAGCTCCTGTAATGAAAAGAGTGTGCTTGCTTGCGGTAAAGGCACACAGCAAATCAAGGCAAACTCAAACAGCATCCAGAAGGTTTTGGGCATTGCATCATGACCAGGAACACACCCCCAGTGTCCAGGAAGCTTCACACATCTAGAAACTTCACTCCCTGACAGCTCAAGTGACCAACAGCCTGCCTCAGCAACACTTCCATCTCCCTCCACCTTTCAAACTTCTTTAACTTACAGCAACACTTCCGTCTCCCTCAATCTTTCAAACTTCTTTAACTTTCAAAACAATAAATTATCGGTGACACAACGAGTTACCACTCGAAAAATACGCCTTCAAGCCTCAAATTCTCATAAAGAGACGAAGTATCAACATGTCAACTTTTAACTTGACCAACACTATGAATATGGATTTGAAGGACTGGACGGAAATGTGTATTTTATTCAGGAAAGTGAAAATGACACGTTTTGTGTCGTTCTGGCAGAATGGGGTAAATGGAAACGACACGGAGTGCATCCTTCTGGCGAATAGGTAGTAAAGTTCTACCAAAAAAAAATGTTTAAACCCAAAAATAGTTAAGGCCACTTTTCCTTAAGCTAAATCTGTAGGCGCAATCACTCCTCATACATGGACGACAAATGTTTGGAGCCTAGGACAGTAATTTGAACAACTAGCATAAACTTTGGCTAGTAAGGGAAAAAGGGAGCAAAAAACAAATCAGGAACCCATGTCTGATGAAATTTGAAACATTTTAGACCATTACGAGTTCAAAATTTTGACAAATTAAAATGGATTCTTTTTTAAAAGAACAAAATGGAAAAAAATAATAAAAGGGGACAATTCTCTCACTGCAGGAAGTGCATATGATAACAAACATACACATTGCCATGATTAAAAGCTAGAAGGTAACTCGAAACCTAAGTACTGAGATCCTTTTTTAAGCATTACCTCCAATCAAAAAATCTGAAACAGTGAATGATTTTGTTATGTAAGTAAACGAATAAACATGCATATGAAAAACACTGTAAACTTTGATAATAACTTATGAAATACCAAGAAAATACAAATGGCAAATTAATGCACAGCAGCCAATGATGTACACTTAAGAGAAGTAAACAAAAGCATCGTTAGTGTTATGTTCAGACACTCCATTAGCATCACCACGTCTACAGAAATCAGACGTTTTGTGATAAGCTTTAGCCTGAAGAGTGCGTTTGCCTTTAACTGTGACATGGGAATCAGTAGGGGAGGGGGGGGGGGATTATATGCAAGCATATTTATATTAATAAGATAATTCAGCTTTCAACATGCCTTGATTCGCAAACATTGCACTTTAAGGCACTTTAGAAACATAGAGCACTTTTAGGTACTTTAGGCTATCCTGTTACAAAATCATTAATATTGCTTTAAATAATAGGGGAAATAGAAAATTGGATATGTGCATACAAAAATTCATTTTCAATCTTACATCTCTCATGAGTAGCTTTCATCTCCCCTCAAAACGTCCTAAAGACTTAAAATAACCCTAAAAAAGGAACTAAGTATACATTGTTCTTTACCAATACATCTTGTATGTGGGCTTTACAAGCAAGGAGATTGACCCGACACTAAATCCCTTCTGCTATAATTTTTAGATACAGCTCCCTTTACAAAAAGTCGTGTCCTAGAATGCCCTTCAATTAACTCTCAAAGACAACAAAATTATAAAACACATTAGACAAAAGCATGTGAAGGCAAGCTTGCACATCCAGGCATGCACTATACTAGAACACAAACTATTACAGCAGTTTACCCAATTGTTAATCCCTAAAACAAAGAACTCTGTCATGCTGAGAACGGAGTTCCTACAACTTCTAAGTTTTGCAAATCATTTGAAATTAAAAAACACACTTCCACTTTCATCTTCAAACTGAAATGAACACAAGAGGACCATACTTTTGCTTGGAAAAAGACACAGAGATATTACTTCCAACTCTGAGAAAACAAACCATCGAGAAAAGACAGCATTTAACTCAAGAGTTACAACAACTAGGATTTAACAACCAGCACAACACGAGTTGTAGAACAAAAAAGGTGAAAAACTACTCACCTTGGAAGGAGGGTTGGAACCCACGCCACACAAGTGAAGGCTGACTGGCAGGAGTTGTTGATCCTGCACAGCTCTGTGATCCCCCCGGAGCGGGACAGCGGCCCGACTGGAACCACCTGCCACAGGATCAGCTCGCTGCAGAACGTCGGGCCAACCTGCTCCACATCAGGGGTCTCTGAAACAGCCGCACGGACATTGGTCAAGGAAGAAACTTTTCGCACTCTTAGGTTCTCTTTATGTCAATGTCTTAATTCCCACATTCAGAAAAAACAACAAAATATAAAATAGATAATCAAATTGAAAACAAATTGTTTAATGACATTTTGTCACCCACTGCAGTTGTAAGTTCCACTAATAAAAAAAACCCACAACATTTTGTCATCCACTGCAGTTGGAAGTTTCACTTTAAGAAAATAAAGACACTCATAACAATTTTTTGCAATTAAAGACACAGACTACTGCTACTGTTACTACTGCTAATAACAACAGATTGAATCTATTATTTATACAACATGCATCTATGATTAAAAGACAGACAGAACTCTATAAATATAAAGTATCACCTGGCAATGAAGGTCCCTCTTCAGACCCCCCAGGGGTTCGCGCGTCAGTTCCGTCCGTGGATGGCAGGTTGTGGTGGGAGGTGGTCAGCATGAGAGGTAGGACCGGGTGGCACGCTGCAGAGTTGGTGCGGAAACGGTGACCACAGGCTCGCGCCACGTGGGACACGCTCACAATGTTCTGGAACTTGGTTTTTTCAGTAAAACTAACCTGAAAGTAAATGAAACAGAAAAAAGAAAATTATACAAAAATCACAGTTATCTGGCAAGCAACCAAAGTCTTTGGTAAGAGCATTGAGCACAACACGAGGCCAGCCTGCCATCAGGAAAATCAAAACATCCACAACAGCACAGAAAATTTTGTACCAGTAATGAAACACAGCCCGCATAAAAACAAGCTGCAACAGAATACAAGAAAACTGCCATATATTTGTATTTTTGCTATGTCAAAAATAACAAAATGAAATCCGAGAAACTTGAGAAAATCCTCATCTTTTGCAACCACTAGAAAATTCTTCATATTGAACAATGGAAAAGGAGGGGGGTAAAAGGATTTAAAGAGAAAAAAGTAATTCTATCTCAGGTTCTTTCCTTACCTGCCACTGGTTGAGAGTGCCATTACTGTGCTTGGTCACCATGTGTATACTCGGGATCAACGAATTGTTATCTCCATCCCCGAAAAAGCTGGAATGTGTTGCAGACTTGTTGTGAGCACCGCCACCACTGTGTACATCCCCGACGTCGGTGATACCCTCGTTCATCTTCATCATGGTCTTTACGTCCACGCGGCTGTAGTTGCAGTACATGAGCAGGTTGCTGGCCATGCTGCGAGCGTCCGGTATAGGGAACGCCCGCGGCAGTCGGGAGGAGAAGCTGGCCTGTGCTTGATGGAAAGTGAACGGGGTGCTCTCATCCAGATGATCAATCAGCCTGCAGAGAAAAACGTAACAACTGAAGGTCGAGGGAATGTCTTCTTTACAGTTTAACGTCAAATTAAGCCGACCAATTTAATATAATACTGACTGGCAAGGTCATCATCTTTACAAATTTTCCCAACAAATTTGAAGTTGCAAGATGAATATTAAGAATAAGTAGAGACATAATCAACAAGCTTCATCTGTAAGAAAACTTAAGTGGCTTGATAAAATGATTGAACTGATTCCCACTCTTCATGCAAAAGTTCACAGCTCTGAGATAGAAATTTTTTTCTGAAAATTACCATGCGCACCAAATATTTTCAACAGAATACGAAACCAAATCCATTAAATATCATTTAACTGATAAAATACTAGTTGTACATGAACCACAAAATAACACAGACAAAGCAGCTCACCAAACCAGAAAACTTCCGTCCACTGGGTGGATGCTGAACACATAGTCTGGGCTGCTGTGCCAGTCGAGGAGAAGAGCATCAATCTTACGGTCCAACCGATCAATGACCCCTGACTGAAGCAAGTGGAGCTGCAAATACACACAAGACAATGAGAACCAGAACCTTACATTTTAAAAAGTAAAATGTTGTGCAATGATAAAAACATCTCAAAGGAACATTTCTGACACTTGGCTGATGATAAACTCAGATATACGAAATAGTAAATCCCCATATTTTAAAAAGATGGGATACTATTAATTGCAAATCATATTTTTCTGTCCACAACATACAGTAAAAAAATCAGGGGCGAAATATTTTAGAATATCACATTAAATCCTTTGATAATGTACCAGTGAAACAATTACTTGTATTATATCACAAAACGGAACTTTAAAGAACTAATGGAATACAGTCAAACCTGTGTAAGACGGCCACCCATTGTCAAGGAGAAAAGTGGCCGCATAAGACAGGTGGCCGTCTTAGGCAGGACTGATCAAGATAAAGAAAACAAACCATTCCCATCTGAGGCCCCAATCGAAAGTAGCCCCATTGTTGTTGTCTTTGTTGGTGTTGTTGCTGTTGGTTTGTATTTCGTTTGTAATTTATATTTTGTCGCTGATTTTGCACAATGGTGACAATAAAACTAAATGTATCAGACAAGGAAGACCGAGTGCCATGTTAAAACAAACACATGGGTCGCCACCACTCGGAGGACGAGGGACGCTTCTGTAACAAGTTCATGTTGACGTCCTTTGTTACTTTGTTACAGACTGGGTAAACAGTAACCACTCATCTCACTTACGATTTGTGTATGAGTTCTGGGCGGGGCTTATGGGTTATGAGGGATCACACGCTAACTCACCTGCAGCTGAAAATTGGTAGCTATTGGTCAACAGTGGGAGGGGCCTACGCAACATGATCGGTTGGAGGGACTACCTAACAACAACGACAGGTGATTGAATTATGACGGCTCGCCGACAACGCCAGGGGCCAATGCACAATTTATGACAAAACGTAATGGATTCACTAAGGTGACCGTCTTAGACAGGTATTATTGCTTTGTATTATAGGGGTTGTGTGTTAAATTTTTGTGGCCGCAGCCGCGTTGGACAGGTGCCCGTTTTACACAGTTAAATTATATAGAAAAAACGCAAGGGGGGAAATGGAAAGTGGCCGTTTGTACAGGTGGCCGTCTTATAGAGGTGGCCGTCAGGGCAGGTTTGACTGTACTATTAACTCTTTAAACCCCATCAAACGCTGAGTAGAAAAAACTCTAGGAAATGATGGAAAAAGCTCAAGGTTTAAAGAATTAAAACTCACTCGAACCTGCTCGTCCCAGACAAACACCTGTACAAACAAACCACTTCCCATTCCCCCCCTCTTTTTGCATTTTTTAATATCATAGTGACACTGCCTAAGACATCCAACTGTGTAAGACAACCGCTTTTTATCTTGACAATGGCTGGCCATCTTGAACAATTTCGACTGTCATAGCAAAAACTAGTGTTTGGCTGCAGAGAGGGCAGACATGGATATATATACTCATAGAACGAAACAAACCGGGAATTCTGGAGGCTGATCATCTTTGTGCTGGTCCTCGTTTGAAGACAGACTGGACCGGCTGCCCTGACCACTGCGCATATCATTCTTGCCAGTCTTACTGCGTCTTTTTTGTTGAGAATCTGAAGAAAAAATATCAAGAAATATTTTTTTAACTTATTGCAAGCCTCAATAAATACCAAATAACTTATTTTGAATTGTTAAAGAAAACTAATGAGACTTTCTTAAAATCAAACGAAGAATAATTTTAAAGGAACACATGGATCAAATTTGTGATAAAATATGGAAGTGAATACATCATGCTCCCAAAAAGATAATGCGAAAAAACAAAAAGCAAAATTACATAATCTAAGCAATGCACTTTTGCTGCGAACAGTTTATCATAAATTATATCTCAATAGTTTTTAGTTTTAAGAGAGGTTTTACAGCGCTTGCAACTGCATAAGGTCATATGAGCGCCAGAAGATTAGAGGTGTTACAAGAGAGTAACAAACGTAAAAAAGAAGAAGGGGAGATAAGGACGACAGATGTTTCATAGGAAAGAAGAAGCAAACCACACCAGCGCACCCGTCAACCACCCACGCTATTCACTTTATTCAAACCAACAACATGCAATAACTAGAGACAAAGCCCAAATACAAACCAACCACTGGGACCCCAACCAGCAGTCTCACCTTCTTCATTGCCCCCATCCTCAAAATCCTCATCCTCCTCTCTGAGGCTCTGATCGTCATCACTGAGGGTCTGGTTTGGCGTAGACGACTGATGCAGAGATCCCCCTTCGTCAGCCACAAGTCTCTGATGAAGTTCTTGCAACAATTTCTCTGCTTCCATCGTGAACTCAAGGTCCTTGTTATTCAGCCAGTGCAAGCGGAAATTGCTGTCCACATCATCTTTGCTGCCAACAATGGGCAAAAGAGGAATATCTGTAAAAACAAGAAACTATATTAGCATTTTACCAAGTATTTTTTCCTTCATTTTGTAAATAAGACTTGCTACGAACATAAAAGTCTATTCCAAGTCAGATATTTGTAAATGTTGTTGCTAGTTCTTCATACCAACTTGAATATCAATTTTGAAAGTGAAGGAAAAAAAGGAAGGCAAAAGAGTACCAGTGAAGACAATTACAAAGTGCACTGGTGCATGTCATGCATTCTCAATTCTTGAATTCAAAATAATATTCATATATAATAATCACACAAACAACATTTAGCAATTACAAAGACAACGGTCAACCAATTCATATTGAACATCTGATTCAATGTAATGAAACCAAATGGGTATTTTACAGGTGAAAATCTCTGGGGAACTTCACCTGTGTCAGGATTAATGCTGCAGGCAAGATGAAAGTGAAGAACCGGAGACACCCCGTTGTGATGAATGGCAAACTTGTGGAAGTCGTGAACACTAGTGGAGTTCTGGAGATTCTGTCCATTCATTGGCTGATCTGCTCCCGACTTGGGATGTTTTCTTCTCTTGTGAATCGCTTGCCTGGAACAGCAGAAAGTTTGTATTTACAAGAGTAAAACCCTTTGGACCTCCACTATAGCACTAATTTATTGACAGAACACATTTAACTTCATGTAACACAGAAGGTTACATATTAGAGAGAAAAACGTCAATATTTTTCATACATCATGTGGCAAGTTATCATAATGATCAAAACATTAACATGGGCCCTGACACTGTTTCAAAATGAAGAACTTAACCAAAAATATTTAAAATTTGAAATCCATATAAAGAGCACAGCCCAACCACTAGTTAGAACTGCGAGTCCATAAGCCTTGAAGGCAGCTTTTAAGAACCACTTATCCCATCGTGTTAAACATTTAAAAAATGTAATAAACAGAAAAGTACGAGTTTCCAAAGCTTCAATGAGCCGCCATACTCACCTTATATTTTTCAACCTCTGCACGAATCTCTTCTTATGCCTCTGCGTGTGGTACTTTGGATCTGCATTCATGGCTGGATCAAAATGTTCCAGGTCCAACAAACCAGCATCCGGGAGAATTGTTTCCACAAAGATACGACACACGTTGTCATCACAAGACGTCACCAGCATGTTGGCCACAGAACCTCTAGACAACACAAAATACAAATATGATGTCAGTTCTAGTTTTACTCCTCTTTCAGGACAGTGCACTTTATCATCGACAAGCTGTTCTCTCGCTCTAAACCCAGAGAGCAACATTTTTCAGGAGAGAGGGAAAAACTTTAAAAATTGTGTGAAAATGATGTATCTTTTCTTCCTTTAAAAAAAAAAAAATTTAGAATACGAATTTCAACGCAATATCTCTGGAGCATGTAAATCTAATACCACAAATTAAGAAAATGCAATAAAAAATTTTCACAATTTTGGGCCGAGATGATCTGAATAGCTGGTCAATGTAAGAGGTTGGACCTATTAAACGATACGTCACTAAAACAAGAAGGCAAGCAGAAAAAAAATTCAGCACACAGCTTAGAGAAAACCAAGCAACCCAAAAGCCTCAACAAAGTATTGGAACATTGAAGAAATGGAAGTCATCACAATGAGGATCATGTAATGCTGATGAGAAAGGACTGAAAGATTTTGTTTCGTTTTAGTTGAAATGTTACAGCGTTTGCAAAACGAATGGGTCATATTTATGTGCTGAAGATTACAAGTGTTACTAGAGAGTAGCATCCAAAGAAAAGATAAAGGAGAAAATAAGATGGAAGACGTTTGAAAGAAAAGAAGGAGCTAACCACACCAAAGTACCCTCCAACCACCCACAGTACTCTGACAGAAATAAAAAGGGAATTTTTTAACAAAAAGCTTTCGAGTAAGCCACAAAAGCACAAACATATATTTCTAGAAATAGCTTCATGTACAGATTCACATAGAGAACTAACACGTAACATTGGAAAAAATAAAACATATCAGGTAAAGAACATACAAAAGACATTCCAAACATTGACAGGATTTTACTGTACATTGTGTGGTAAAAAATCTTAGACACGGATAGTGCATTTTTATAAAGGAGAGAAATTACAATTACAATTTCAACTCAACATACACTGCATGAGTCATGATGTCTGTACAGGGCTAGCTATCAGTCACTGATTATCTCATCATGACAGTTCAGTTAGCACTATAAACTCTACAAGAAGGAACTATCTTTTTAAAATTCCATTCCTAATTATATTTAGATACAATTAATGTACTCTACTTTGCAAATTGCGAAAAATGACAATTACTTGTTGAAACTTGCAGTTATCATCACTACAGTAATTTCCCATGTGGAACGTATTATTTCATCCTAACAATAAGTCCTGGTATAAATTATTCATAACACAATTACATTAGCAGGCTTGCCAACTTTTGAGATACTGAATTCTGGAATTTTTGTTTGCGCCAGAGCTGCACGGACACACTTTTCTGTGATAGGCTATTAAAACTACTACAAAAAAAAACCCCACCCACACCATAAAAACAGCTCAAACAAACCAGTGGAGAAACAGAGAGAGAGAGAGAGATGGGGTCTCGGGAAAGGGTCGGGAACAACATTGGCAATTCAGGAATTTCCCTGAAAATTCTGGAAGGTTGGCAAGCCTGCATTAGCAATTAAAGTTGTACCTGGGCATGTACTTGCTGGTCTGCCTCCACTCAAAGCCAGTGACAGCTCTCGGGTGGCAGATGTAGATGAAGGTGTAGTGGATGGAGTTCTTTTTGGGGCTCATCACACTGTCATGCCTCATCAATCCTTGAGACACTGAAAGATAAGATAGATAAGATAAGATAAGATACATCCTTATTGTCCAGATCCTGGCACATTGGTTTGGTGTTTCACCACGTGCACACACACACACACACACATGCGCACTGTACACAGGTACAGTAGGGCTATATTCTATACATTCTTGAAATTGGATGGGGCGCCTGCAGAGGTTCAAGACTGAGTGGGAGGAGCAGAAGGCTATGGAATCAACCATTGCTTGGAACCGTCAGCATCTACACACTTCGAGATGTGCTTCTTCAGGGGACGGAGCGCTTATGGGAATGCCCCTTGTGCAGTGATGTCGGGCCTTCACACAAGTAAACAAGTAAATAAGTATATACATTCTATGCATCTTATATTGAATCACATGCAAACACAGCTGGTGCAATTTGAAAATAATTAAATTTGTCAAGAAGAATCAAAATAATCCTTTTTTTTCCTTTCTCTTCAGAGTTTCAGGTAGTTAAGATTTTAAAACCAATGAGTGACTCGAAAGAACTGAGGAATGTAGGACTAACATGATCTAAACTGACTACCAACCAGTTGTGCTAGCCATCTCCAGTTGGGGCTATGGCAACACTTAGATGAGTAACTTGCCCAAAAAAGTTATAAGAGTGAAGAACCTATTTTTTACTTATTTACTCATCTATTTATTTATATGTAAAACATTTTCATGCATGTGTACTAACTCTAAGACTAACAGCTAATTTCAAAACCCAAAATGATGCACAGTTTGTTGTTACTACTAAACACAAAAGCGCCAGATGATAGAATTGGGCAGGTCCTCCCCACCCCCCCACCCCAAAGAAAGATTTTAAAACCAAAACAACACACTTTCTCTTGCACAAGTTGCAAGTCACACAATATAATACACATTGCCCAAGACGGCTACCCATGGTCGAGGAGAGAAGTGGCTTGTCTCAGACAAGTGGAATTCTAAAACAAAGTCATTATGATATAGAAAAAAATGCTAGAGGGGAAGTGGGAAGAGGCCATTTGTTAAGGTGATTATCGGGGACAGTGTCAGTATAGCACAGAAAATATGCGAAGGAAGAAGTTGGAAATGGTTGTTTGTGCGGGTGACTTTCTTGGACAGGTGGCTGTTAGAACAAATTCGACTGTATTTCTTGGCTTTAATACAGAAGGACATCTGAAAATAATATGACGAGGAATATTTTACAGAGAGATAAGCGATAGGGGCAAAAGTTAAGCAGCAGATTATGTCAACATGCATATGAAAATCAGAAACAATCTCTGTCCTTACCTTTTTGATCTTCATACCAGATCTTGACCAGTCTTTCATTCTAAGGAGTAAACAGGAAACTCAGTCTAAAAAAGGAATCTATAAAAAGAGCTAAGAGATGTTGCTACATTTTCCAAAACATTTGAGAAGTGTCTGTTGGAAGACAAGAGTAGCAGCTGTGCTAAATACAAAGATGAGAATAAAAGACATAACACAGAATGACTCAGATAATAAAATCAGTTGACAAAATGTCAAACCGATATACTCAGCAAGTAAACAACTTTACAAAAAACTTAGGCTGCTAGATTTCAAAGCATCTAAACCTTGGCAATTGCATAATGTCACATTAGAGACAAAAACACACCATTTGACTGTGAAAGGCACCGCAAGTGGGTAAAATGAGGCAGTCCCCTGTTGTCTATTTTTGACAGGATAAAATGCTCAGAATAAGTCCAGAGAGGAGAACTGTGAAACCAGGAGAAAAGGAGTTCCTCTTACTCTAATCTTCAGAAAAGTATTGTTGAAAAATATGTTTAGCAGAACAGTGAATTTTGTCAAGCAAATGTTTATACCCAGTTCGAAAAGACACAACCATGAGTATGAATATGTAAAAATGTCCCTCAAAAGTCAATTTTTTATTCAAATGTGATTAATTTTTTCAATCATTCGTATTAATTTACTTTTGAAAATGTCCACTCCAAGCTAAACTGAACATCAGACTTGAAAACAAAATTTTTCAGAGTAATTTTACATCTACTTCTATCCCTCCCTTAGCAGTAGCAAAACGAAGTATAAATGTAAGAAATTGCTTACCTTTCCAAGTGAGGCAAAGACAAAACTATCAGGCGAATACTTCAAATGTGTGACTGGGGAGGCAGGCCTGCATGTGGGGAGATAAAAAATATGACCATTAAACACACAGTCTCCTCTTCCTCACCACAAAACTGAGGATGGTAACATTATTTATTACACAAGCGCTTAAAGATTTTATACTTAAGAACATCTACAGCATTCATACATTTAATTAGGTGCTACTACACAAGAAAATACATCAGACATCACTAAATCTACACAGTGAACAGAGTAGATTAATTCAGCAAAAAACAATTCCTCTCTAGACATTTTTTTGACTAAAAAATATTTCCTTCAAACCAAACCTCCAATACAACCAAAATTGTCCCCCAGACGGCCACCCATTGTTGAGGAGAAAACAGGTCGTCTTAGACAGGTGGATTTCTTGAACAGTCTCATTATAATATACCAAAATGCAAGAGAAAAAGAGTGAGAAGTGGTTGTCTGAACAGGTGATTGCCTTATTGCCTTATACAGGTGATTCTCAGAACTGATTTGACTGTATTTCATTGAATAACCATCATTTTTTATGCAAGTACAAGTCAGCATTTTGTACAAAAAAGACTAAGGATTTGCACTCAGGCCATCATTCAAGAAACCAAAAAGTTCCTGTAGAAAGTACAAGGCCCTCACTTTGTCTTCCACACACACTCCCAAGCTCCGGGCTCAGGCTCCCCCTGGTGGTCAGTGAGGTAGTCTGGGTCAGCGATGGCTTGGACCAGACGTTGGGTCACGGGGTCATCCTCCTCCCCCATCACACTGCCCAGGTGGAACTGGACCTTGGCCGAAGCCACAGGCACGGGGGAGCTGTTCACAAACTCCCATATCTGGATCACCTCCCCTCCGGTCAGCAAGCGGGAACCTGAAAGTAGACAAGATAAGATGAGAAAAGAAAATGTTTGTTTGTTTTAGTAGAGGTTTTACGGCGTTCACAACTGCATAAGGTCATATGAGCGCCAGAAGATTAGAGGTTTTACAAGAGAGTAACAAACATAAAAAAGAAGAAGGGGAGATAAGGACGATAGATGTTTCATAGGAAACAAGAAGCAGACCACCGCAGAACACCCGCCAACCACTCGCTGAGAAAAGAAAAGAAAAGAAAAGATAAGATAAGATAAACCTTTATTATCCAGGCACTGGCATATTAGTTTGGTGTTTCACCACATGCACACACACACACACACAAACACACACACACACACACACACACAAACACACACACACACACACGCAAGCACGAACACAAGTGCATGCAGACACACATATACACATACTCTCCAACAAACACATATTTGCTTACATTTACAAACAGACCTACAGTCAATCATATATGATATAATTCATAATAAATAAACAATTATATTGTTAACTATAATAATGTCTAAGCTAGATACATTAACATATCAGTATTCTGATAGTGATAGTAATCCAATGGTATTCTGATAGTGTATGCTTTAAAGGTTATAGAAATATTTTTTATAAGATGATTCATTCGGTAGGAGTGTTTTTAGATAATGTACATAAACAGTCACAACACAGCTAAAGAGTTGGAAATTTTATTCCGCTCCCCCCCCTCT